AAATTGTGTCTGTGGACAAGTGGTCTCAACCTTGCTGCTTCCAGTGGTATTTTTATTAAAAGAAAATACTTTTTTTTTTTTTTTTTTTTTGGGAACAACTCGTGGATTCTTTTTATTTTAATCATTTTTACGTTTACTTTTTTTTTCCTTTTTATTATTCATATGTGCATACAAGGCTTGGTTCATTTCTCCTCCCTGCCCCCACCCCCTCCCTTACCACCCACTCCGCCCCCTCCCTCTCCCTCTCCCCCCCCAATACCCAGAAGAAACTATTTTGCCCTTATTTCTAATTTTGTTGTAGAGAGAGTATAAGCAATAATAGGAAGGAGCAAGGGTTTTTGCTGGTTGAGATAAGGATAGCTATACAGGGCTTGACTCACATTGATTTCCTGTGCGTGGGTGTTACCTTCTAGGTTAATTCTTCTTGAACTAACCTTTGCTCTAGTACCTGTTCCCCTTTTCCTATTGGCCTCAGTTGCTTTTAAGGTATCTGCTTTAGTTTCTCTGTGTTGAGGGCAACAAATGCTAGCTAATTTTTTAGGTGTCTTACCTATCCTCACCCCTCCCTTGTGTGCTCTTGCTTTTATCATGTGCTCATAGTCCAATCCCCTTGTTGTGTTTACCCTTGATCTAATGTCCACATATGAGGGAGAACATACAATTTTTGGTCTTTTGGGCCAGGCTAACCTCACTCAGAATGATGTTCTCCAGTTCCATCCATTTACCAGCGAATGATAACATTTTGTTCTTCTTCATGGCTGCATAGAATTCCATTGTGTATAGATACCACATTTAAAAGAAAATACTTTTGATTTGTTCAGAAGACATGGAAAGATATCATCTCATTTCAAAAATCATCTGATTTTGAAATGATTATATGCTAGCATTGTTACCTTGTTTTCATGAACTTATGCCCAAGAATTACTTTCAAAATGAATTTCCCTTTTCTATTTAACTCAGTATTAACTTGTGACTTGATCCACAAGCTGAGGGATTAGAATTGGGTTTGAATGTGGTCCCATCACCTTTCAGCCTTCAACCCAGAAGAAGCTGTCTTGAGTGTATGGCAGAGAGCACTCAGAAGTCTTGCTCTGTCTCTCAACAGCATTGTGTCAATTACTGAACTATTTCCTGTGAAACAACTTCTGGTATCCTTTTGAACAACATTTAATTCAGCTTCCGTGGGAGAGAGTGGAGTTCAGTTTTGTGCACATACATTCCTTCTTTTTGCTTCTTTTTCTTCAAAAATGTTTCCTTGTCACCATCCCTGCTATTAGTCCACCTACATTTCCTGATTCCTTGGGTCCCTGGGTAGCGGTTACTGCAGCGACTGGATGTCACTGGTGTTTGGTGGCCTGGAAGTTGCAGTTCTTCGTTTATTCCCTTTATTTTACCTGTGGCCCTTTGGAGTCCTCTGTAGACCCAAGTCCTGCTGAGTACCAAGACCTAGGGCATGTCTGGAGGGAGGAAATAAATCAGGGTGTGTTTGAAGGCCTTCAGTTCCTTTCCTCAGCAGAAGTTTTCATAAGAGACTTTAAATGCTGGGGATTAGAGCCAAGCTGGTAGCCATACTTATAATCCTAGCACTTGGGAGGCTGAGGCAGGAGAATGGTGAGTTTGAGGCCAGCCTGGGCTACATGGTGAGACCCTGTCTTAAAGGAAGAAGAAAAGTGTTGGGGATGTAGGTTGGGTATGGTTTAGCAAAAATCTTGAGCCACATAAAGGCTCAAGATTACAGAGGCCTGGTTGGGGTATGAGAGCTTTGCCTGTCCTTGGACATGCTTGTTGTTTGGTACAGTCATTAACAGTTATCATGATTAAAAAAAAGTTCTGAAACTTTTCTTTTTTTTATCAGGTTTTTGTGTTCTCTATAACTATATGTAGTCCTAATGAGTCATTCTGTTGTAATAACATTAAACTCTTTCATTGTAGTAAAATACATATGACATTAAAGTTACCATCTTTTGAAAATTTTTTTTGGATGGTTGCTTGGAGTATATTATCTGCTTGGTGCAAGGCATAGTTACAGGGTAGGAAAGCTTAGTGCAGCCAGGAGCGATGGGGCTTCCTGCTGGTGTGTTGCTTGCTGCACGCTATCTAGTCTACAGGGTGGGCAGGGCTCTGGCCTAGCACCTGGGAAGCCCAGGCTGGTGGTTCCACCAGGTCAGGATGGGGCCTGGCATTGGCCTGATAGGCTGGCTTACTGGCTGCTTCCTCATGGCCTCTGGAGCCAGACCACTGGTGACCATGCTGTGGAGGCCTGGGAGGATTCCGTGGACTGCTCAGGGGACTCCAACACTGTGGCTGTGAATGGGAGAGTGGACTTCCCGAAGAAGAAGCTGGCCCACCAGTGACCAGGTTGGCCTTGGGAGACCTGAGAGAAGCAAAGAGGGGTCATGATGCTGTCTGTCCAAGTGGGACTTCCCCCTTACACCTTGCTGCCCCACAAGGAACTGAGTAGACTCTGTCCATCTGTGCGGTTAGACCCGCACTCACCCAGGTGATGGGGGTGGCTTCCCTGGGGTACTTGGTACTTCCGCAGGAGCTGCTGCTGGACGCGGAGCCCAGGTAGCCTGGAGAGGGGAGGCAGGTCAGCAATAGTGGCTTCAGTGGCTGCAAGGGGCAGTGCTGGGCTCCGTCAGGTTGGGGTCAGCAAGGGGCCTGCTTATGCCGGCAGTAGTCACGGGTGGCCACGAGCGAACCACTGGAGGGGATGGCTGTCATGCTTTGCCTGCCTGCTGGTTTAGATCTTAGTAGAGATCCCTGATGGGCTGACTGGGAGGGGACCCTAGGCCTGAAAACCCATTTGCAGAGGAGGCCACAGGAACCCACTCCTTGACCCAGACTCTCATGCCTAAAGTTAACATCTGTACATGGCTTTAAGCACATTTACACTGCTGTGTGTCCATTCCAGGACTTTGTCATCACCTGTAACTGAAGTTCTACCTGTTATGCAGTAACACTCCACTTCCTCCTTACCTGACCCTGATAACCTCTATTTTACATTTTGGCTATGGACTTGACTATTCTACGTACTTCATATAAGTGGAATCATACAATATTTGTGCTTTTGTATCTGACTTCTCTCGCTTACTGTAATGTTTTCAAAGTTTATCCATGTTGGAGCAGGCATCAGAATTTTATTCTGTTCTAATACTGAATAATATTCCATTGTATCTATATTCCACATTCCGTTTGTGTATCCATTCATCTGCTGATGATCATTTTGTTTGTTTCCAGTTTTGGACTGTTGTGAACAGTATTGTTACAAACGTTGGTGTACAAGTACCTGTTTTAGTCCTTTCAGTTGAACCTACAGATGGAATCCTACAGTAATTCTTAGTTTCCTTTTTGAGAAACATTACTGGTAACTTGCCAAGGGTTCTGATTTCTTTCCATTGTCCACAATACTTGTTTTTTTCACATCCTGATGGTGTGAGGCGGGTGTCTCATTTCCCTGATAGCTAGTGACATCCAGCATCTTTTTTGCATGCTTATTAGCAGTTGGTATGTGTTCTTTGGAGAACTGTCTCTTCAAGTGTTTGCTTACATTTTAAATAGAGTTGTTTGTTATAGGTGTTCTTTATATATTTTGGATATTAATCTTTTATCAGTTGTTTGTTTTGCTAACGCCTTGCTAATGCCTTTCTTTGGGTTATCTAACTCATAGTATCCTTTGATGCACACATGTTTTTAATTTTGATGAAATCAAGTTTATCTGTTTTTTTTTTTTTTCTTCCTTGCAGTGCTAGTAATAGAACTCAGTCTCATACTTGTTAGACAAGCTCTACTGCTGAGGTACAACTCAACAACCCGTTTTTTCTTTTGTTGTCTGTGCCATGAAGGTGTTCCACTATATTTTCCTCTAATTGTTTTATAGTTTTAGCTTTGATCATTTTGAGAACCACCCCTCCCTCCCATACTGGAAATTGAACTCAAGTCCTCATGCTTGCTAAGCAAACACTCTACTACTTCAGCCATACTCCCATTCCTTAAGTTAATTTTTGTATATGGTGTAAGAGTACAGCCGTATTCCTTTGCTTGGATAAACAGTTGTCCAGCATCATATTTTGAAAAGACCACTCCCATTCCTCATTGAATGATCCTAACATCCTTGTTGGAAATCAATTGACCATATGTGTGTTTTGCCATTTTAATTGTTTTAAAGATTTAAAAGTGGTAATATGAACGTCTATGTCTTTTGGAATATGGTTGTATAAATTTTAACACATGTAGATTCATGTTACTATACCACAGAGTACAGCACAGCCTGTTGCCCCAGAAATCTCCCTGGTGCTCCTGGGCGCTCACCCCTGCATCATAGCTCCTGTACCTGTTGAGCTGTCCTGCATGCCTTTGAGGAAATCCATGATGCATCTCCTTTGGGGTTTCTTTTTCCACCCACTTGAGACAGATAGAACTCATCCCTCCTGTAAGGGTATGGTGGAGGGAAGCTGGTGTTGTTAAAACTTGTTGAAGAAAATGTTAAATGTAAGTGTTCCTTAATGGTTTTCCTCTGAATAATTGAAGCTTTTAAAAGTGAGCTGCTTGGCGACTTGATTAACAGCTGTCAGACCTACCCCTTGTGCCCAGCAGCCGTGAGTGGGGAACTGTTAACCTAGCAGCCTCTTCTTTGGCGCCCACCCAGACTGTCGTCATGACAGTCTGGTTACTTTGAACACTTGAGGGGTGCCCCAAGGAAACTCCCCTCCATCTGCAAAAACCATTTTGACCATGGTTTGGGGTAAAGCCACAACTACTGGTTTAGGAGACCTTGTTTCAGCCATGACTGCTCCAGACAGTTTGCACTGACTAGGAAGACTTCACTTAGTCTCTGACAGACCTCAGTGACCTGTAGATGACTCATTTGCAGTCATTCCAGATGGCCCTACCCATCTTACAGCTATTTCCACTCAGGCCAGGCAAGGAGCACTTTCTCCAGTTACTCAGCAAAAAACGTGATTGGTGGACTGGAGGCTGTACACAGAAGCTTGTGCAAGAGCATATCACACCCCTTTTCTGGCTGTATAATAAACAGCCTGCTTCTTAGTTTCCTCAGGTCAGTCTGAGAGGTTTCCCTGAGTGCACTGTTCTCTTTTGTCCTGCAACAATAGATCCCAATAAAAATCTTTCCTGAATGGTCTACTTGTAGTTTTTATCATAGGTAGAGTGGGCTGTGCTGGTAATGGTAAGAGCAGAGAAACCCTGGGGCTTTTAGTCCCAGGTACCTACTAGGTGACTGGAAAATGATTCCCAAGCCTATAAGCCCCTGGGGACTCTGTAGGCCCTCAGCTCAGAGAACAGCTAGAAGAAGGCTGCTGAAAAGTTCCAGAGTGGCTGGGAGCAGATACTGTGAAGGCTATAAAAGACTGCAGAAGTCCTTAAGAGGTGAAAGGTGGTGGAGAGCTAAGACTTCAAAAAGCAAGAGACTGTGAAGAGCCAAAACTGCAGAGGGCAGCAGAGCTGCAGACCCTGACAGCTGGAAGAGTTCCCGAGAGATGCCACAGGTGCTGAGGGTCCCAAGACCTGTAATACTAGATGATGGGTGCTGGGCTGTTGCCACTCAAAGCTAGAGTAATAAGTCTCTGATCTACAGCCATAAATCTCTGGCTTTGAAAACTTAGAGCCATATGTCCTAGTTCTCAAGGCTTAGAGCAATAAACTTCTGGCTTTGAAAGCCCAAAGCAATAAGGTTCTAACTTTGAGAATTTAAGAGCCATGAGTCTGATTCTCAGGGCCTAAAGGTATAAGCTTCTGGGTTGGAGAGCCCAGCCTATCAGCCTCTGGAGTTCAGGGCCAACACTAGTGGTGCTGCTCCTTGCCTAGTCATGATTTCCATATGAATAGGACAAAAGAAACCTCTGCTATTGGTGACACTCTTGTTTTCTGGAGATTCATTCAGGTGGTTTTATCAACAGTTTATTCCCGCTTATTGCCCTGTACTGTTATGTGGGTGGACCATCGTTTGTCTGCTTACCTCCTGAAGGACATTTGGATTGTTTTTAGTTTTCAACAATTATGAATGGAGCTGCCATATAACAACTATAGTTTTCAAGTGGACATGAGTTTTTATTTCTCTAGGGTAAATGTTTTAGGGTGAGATTGGTGGGTGGTATGATAAGAATATATTAACTTTACAAGAAATGACCGTTGTGTTCTCCAGAATGCTTTTAACATTTAGCATTCCAGCAAGTAATGTGTGAGAACTGCAGTTACGCCATATCCTCACAGCACTTAGCATTGTCACCGTTTTGCTGTGACCTTTTTAAAGCTACTCAATGTATTCAGTGTGGCATTAAAACTTTAATTCACCATGGATTACGATGCCAAGCATCTTTTTATGTGCCCATTTCCCACCCTTATCTCTTCCTTAGTAAAATGTCAGTTCTTTTGCCCCGCTCCTTTTTTGGGGGCAGTACTCGTATTTGAACTCAGGGCCTCAAACTTACTAGGCAAGTGCTCTACCACTTGCGCCACTTCACTAGCCATTTGTTGTTGGTTTTCTCTCTTTTTTTTTTTTTTATTGTTGTGCTGGTTGGGGGTACATTGTAACATTTACAAAAGTTCTTATAGTATATCAAATGTATTGTATTTGAATTCACCCCCTCCACCATCCTCCTTCATCCCCACTCTCCCCATGTTTTCCTTTGTGATGGATATTTTTTGAGGTAGGGTCTCACTTTTTGCCTGGGCTGACTTTGAACTGTGATCCTCCTGATCTCTGCCTTCTGAGTAGCTAGGATTACAGGCTGGTTCCCAGCCTCTTTTGCCCGTTTTTAAGACTGGGTGGTTTGATTTATTGTTGTTCTTTATATGTTCTGGATACAAGTTCTTTGTCAGATGTGATTTGCAAATATTTTCTTCTTTTCTGTGTCCCTATGTTGTGGACTTTTTAGACTAGCTTCTTTCAGTTAGCAATTTGCATTTGAGTTTGCTCCCTGCCTTTCATGCTTTGAAAGCTCATTTCTGGTATCTCCAAGTACTGTTCCATTGTGTGAAATATAAATAGCTGGTCCATTCACCTGCTGAAGGACTGAATTTTTCATAGTCTTCCACTTGATGTACTACCATTTCACAAGGACTGGAGAAACAGGGCACCGCACAGAGCCCCTCATCACCCTTTCGGATAGTGGTTGTTGTGTGTCTATAGACACGATGAAAATCCTACCAGACAGCTTCAGCTATTATAGTGTTTTGTTTGTTTTGTGACTGGGTCTTTCTGTATTGCCCAGGCTGGTTTTTAACTTCTGGGCTCAAGTGATCCTCTTGCTCTAGCCTCTTCAATAGCTGAGACTGTAGGCACGAGCCACCACTTCTAGCTTGTTGTACATATTTAAAGAACTTAGAAAAATAGTTTATTGAATTCACCATTTGGGTAGCTCTTCCTTCATTCCTAAAATTCCAGGTCCCCTTTTCTGAAGAATTTGCATTGTCTTTTCTTTTAGAACAGTTCTGTTGGTGATCAGTGTTCTCCATTTTCCTTCACCTGAAGTGTCTTAATTTCTAAAGGATCTTTCAGTGATGTAGAATCATAGGTTTACAGCCCCCGCCCCCCCACTCCACCCACCCCATGCTGGGAATTGAATAGTTATTTTCCTTTTAAACTTTAGAAACAGCCGTTATTGTTCGGATCAAATGTGTGATTTGTTCTGAAATGCAAAACAGGACTTTTCAGTTATGGCCAGTCTTCCCATGAGCAGATGTGTACCATTACAATACACAGTTCAGAAAGTTATTCTCTTTAGCACGTTAAAAATGTCAGTTCCTGCCTTCTAGCTCCTGTGGTTTCTGGTGAGAATCGTAGTCACTCAAGTTGTTCCCCTATGGTAAGGCATACTTTTTACCTGGCTTCTGATACTCTCACTTGTCACCTGTCTTTGGTTTCCAGTATGACAAAGGCATGCCTGTTGGAGGTTTGCCAACGTATGTGTTTTCTCTTTCACTGAATTGGGGAAATGTTCAGTAATTATTTCTTCAAATACTTTTTCAGCATACAACTTTTCCCACCCTCTGGGACTCCAGTGACACACACATTAGCCTGTAGTCTTGCTGCACCTGCATCTGTTTCGCCTGCTTTCCAGTCTTCTCCCTGCTGCCCAGATTGGATAATTTCTAGCACTCTGTATTATGTGCCCTGGCTCCTTGTCTGTCATCTCCATGCTGGTATCAAGCCCATTCAGGGATTTTTTTTTTTTATTTTACTTTTGGTGGGCCTGGGGTTTGAACTCAAGGCTTCATGCTTACAAAGCAGGAATTCTACTGCTTGAATCACCTCTCCAGTCCATTTTGCTCTGATTACTTTGGAGATAGTGTCTCAAAAGCTATTTGCCTGGACTGGCCTGGAACCATGATCCTCCTGATCTCAGCCTCCCTAGGAGCTAGGATTACAGGCGTGAGCCACCAGCACCTGGTTCACATTTATTTTTTTTACTTATTTATTTCTTTATTTTTGTTGGTGCTGAGATTGAACCCTGGACCTTGTGAATGCTAGGCAAGCACTCTATACTGAGCTATATCCCCAGCTGTGGTTGTTATAATTTTTGATTCTCAGGTTTTTGATAACTTTTGCATTCTGTGCCAAGACCTCCTTTCTATTTGACTCGGTATTCTTGGCTTATTCTTGGGTCATGGTTAGTAGCAACCTGCAAGTCTCTTTTGGCTCCAGCAATTGTCTAGGAGGGAGCTCCTCTTAATTATTGTTTCCTTTGAGAGTTCATCAGGCTTTCGTGGCTTCATTGTATGTCAAGTAATTTTGGGTTGTACTTGGATATTTTGAATGTTACGCTATGAAGTTTGGGACTTGTTTTAGTCTCACAGGGTGTAGGCATTCTTGTTACAGCAAGAGTTAGATCTAGTTGGTCAGGCTAAACAATTTTCTTGTTTGTTTTTGTTTTGCTTTTTTTGGTCATACTGGAGTTTGAACTCAGGGCCTTATGCCTACTCCTAGGCAAGTGCTCTACCATTTGAGCCCTTCTGCCAGTCTTTTTTTTGTTTATTTGAGACAAGGTCTCCTATGTAGCCCAGGCTGGCCTATAACTTGTGATCTTCCTGCCTCAGCCTCCTGGGTACTGGGATTACAGGCACGAACCACCACGCCCAATTGGCTGAGCATTTTGAATCCCTCCTGTGCTATGCTCAGTTCAATTTTCAGCGCCTCTTCAGTGCTCCTGGCATAAGCCCTGGAGGCACCATCTGGGGTCCATTCTGAGAGCTAAATGTGGTCTACCCTAAAGATCGGTTCTCAAAGCTTTTGCATTGCTATTTAGAGTTAGGTCCATGTATGGTTTGCTTCAGAATGACCTAGGCATTTCCATGTAGCTGTGTGCAGCTTGGGACCTTTCTCCTGTTCACAATGGCCCACTCTGACTCCAGGGTTTCTTCCTTGTCCTTTGACTAGAAACCTGGGTCTGTTGTATATGCCCCAACATCTCATGACTGAGTCCTCCCTGAGCCTGGACAGAAGATGGAGAGTGAGCATGCAACTCACTGCTCAGGACCCTGCCTTCTGGTCAGGAGAAGGTTCCTCCACTCTGAGTTTGGTGCTTTCCAGGCCACTGCCTCTGTGGCAGGGTTAGAGCAGGGGCTTGAGTGTGCTTGCAGGCAGGACCAGCAAAGAGAAAAGATCATAGTGACAATAAAAAACAGGCACTAGCCTGGCATACACAAGGCCCTGGGTTCAATACTCAGGCCTGAAAACAAAACAAAAACAAACCAGGGCATTTCCCCTTTCTGTCTTGCATGGGTTTCCCTTCTCTTTACCATGCCAAAGAGAGGACTTCTCGGGTAATTTCTATCTGCACCTGTGCTCAGTTCTGGGCTTTGGGCTGCCCTTGAGTTCACCCAGGAGATACAGAGTGAAAAGTAACAACCAGAAAGCTCTCCTTTGGAGAAGTCAGTCTGGCACCTGAGTTTCCAGGTCCACATGGATTGAGCATCCTGTGCGCAATGCAGGGTGGTGTGGCTCATCTAGTGGGAAAGACTGAGTTGTCCCCATGCCACCTGTAGACCCAGAGCAGCTCCTATTTTGCTGTTGCTTCTTGTCAGAGAACAGCAGATGATCTTTGGCTGGAGGAGAATCTTTGGTGATCTTGTGAGTGGCTGGGGGCTATGTTAGCAAATTTGTTTTGTGATGCTGGAAATCAAACTCAGGGTCTTGCACATGTTAGGTTGAGCTACACCCCAGCCTCTGGGTACTCTGTTAAGCAGACATGGAAACCTCCCTGTAACCTGTTCCCTGTCTTGCTTCCTCTAGGACTTGGGATCCTGGAGGAATAACACTGCTGGGCATCCTGTTCTGTGGTGCCATGGCGACCCCAGATGTGAGTGTCCACATGGAGGAGGTGGTGGTTGTGACAACTCCAGACACCGCAGTTGATGGCAGTGGTGTGGAGGAGGTGAAGACAGTGCTGGTGACAACGAACCTGGCCCCTCATGGGTAAGACTGAGCTGGGGCCAGTAAGACTGGTGGGGGCCTGGGCTGGTTTGTGGCACAGCTTCAAGATTTCTTTACCTATGAGATACTCAGACTGGACCCAGTATATCTGGCACATGCGGTGAATAACAAACTGCATTAACCAAGAGGATCATTGCAGATGTTGGTGATGCCTTAGCTCCTCCCAGTGTGGCTATGTGGTTTCCAAGAGCACACAGGGATTGCTCATTTGATAACTGGAACAGAGGGGATGGTTGACTTGTTTTTCAATTCCTTGTGAAATTTAGTGTTATCTTTCTAATCTCTTGTTGCAGATATCTGAATTGAGTATTAGTTGGCCAAAAGCTCTCATTTGACCAAACTCATAGCTTCCTTTTGCTACCTATAGGCAGAATTTTTAGGAGGTAGCAGAGTGGCTCCTACCCCTGGCAAGGGGTGAAGACAGCATTCAGCAGGGCAGAGGGGCTGCTTGAGTCCTTGTTCTTCCTCTCCAGAGAGACTGGGTCTCAGGCTTTTTTTTTCTTTTTAATTTAATGAATTATTGAATTGTTTACTTCTGGAATTTTCCTTTAGTTTATTTTTGGGGGTGGAACAGGGGTTTGAACTCAGGGCTTCGTGCTTGCAAAGCAGGTGCTTTACTGCTTGAGCCACACCTCCAGTCCATTTTGCTCTGGTTATTTTGGAGATGGGAGTGACCCAGGCTGACTTCAAACTGCTATCCTGATCTTTGCCTCCCAAGTAGCTAGGATAATAGGCGCTCAGCTTCCTTTAGTATTTTTGAACAACAGTTGAAATGTGTGTGTGTGTGTGTTACTAGGTTTTGAACTCAGAGCCCCATGCTTACTAGTTGAGTCACACCCTCAGCTCTTTTTGCTTTAGTTATTTTTTGGGTAGGGTCTCACATTTTTGCCTAGGGTCAACCTTGGGCTGCAGTCATCCTACCTACACCTCCTGCGTAGCTGGGATTATAGGCATAAGCCACCATGCCCAACTTATTTGTTGAGTCTTGCTAACTTTTTGCCCAGGCTGGCTTTGAATCATGCTCCTCCTGATCTCCTTCCAGAGTAGCTGGAATTACAGCAACAGCATGGGGCACCATTCCCGACTATGGTCTTTGCTACATCTTTTGTGTGGTGCCTTCATACTGACTTTAGCTTATCATGGAGTACTGGGGAGATTTCCCACCTAAGTCTCCTTTGATCGTTGTTAATATCTCAGCACATAACTTAGATGTTTCCTGTGTGTGTGTTGTAGGTACATTGAATTTTCTGACATCTGCATCATGTGCTCTGCTTTGACCTCTCTACACCATCATCCCCCAGAAGTAGTGCTCAAGCCCCTCTGTCAGATTCAGACTGTCCTGAGATGAACATTGTAGCAGAAATGACACTGGGTCAGAAAAGGCCACACAGCTTTCACCTGGTACCTGGGGTTGCTGTCAAGAGCCCAGTGCTGTGCTTCCAAGCTTTGGTGTCACCTATATAGGCACACGGAATGGAGCCTCTGGGGAGAGCCAGCTGCATAGTAGGGTCTTCCTAGTCGGAGCTCCGACATGTGGGCCACTTCTGTTTGCTGATGTGATTCATCCTCACATGGGGACCCTTCAATATCGTTAAACTTTCTTCTTGGAGTGTTTTCACACAGTTGTGGATTTAGAGTTGTTTGCCAGTTGGTGACATTAACCAGCTCCTAGGGCCATCCTGGAAACGGGTATGGCGGCACAGTCCACAGAATCTTGATGTTCACATTTGCTACCTGTATTTTCTGTCTTCATTAGAAAGAATGGTTTATCTGGACCAGCTTTGCAGTGAGAAATGGAGAGGAGTTCATTGCTCAGCTCTCTGCTTGTCCTGCTTACTGCTGTGTCAGTTGTTTTTGTTTTTTTTTTCCGTGGGGGGTGGGGGGGCAGCAGTTTTGAGAGAGTCTGGCTATGTCACGTAGGCTGGCCTGGAATTTGTAATCCAAAATTGCTAGGATTATAGGTGCGTGCTACCATGCCTGGCCCTATGTCTGTCTCTTTTGCTGGGTAAGAAACCACCACAGAACTTAGTGACTTAAGACACAAGTGTTGATTATTTTTTAAAATTCTGCCAGTTGGCTGCTGCTTCCCTGGTTGGGGATGCCTACCTGACTCTGTCATGACCTGGGTTGGTCCAGATGTCCTTAGTCCCATGTCTGGTTGACAGGCTGGTGTTCTGGTGGCTGCAACAATGGCTTGCCTGTACCTTCCAGCCTCTTATTCTCTGACTGCATGAGAGAATAAGATCTCCTTGGTGATCTTAGGCCTCCTGTATGCCTATGTCCCATTGACTAGAGCAAATCACATGACCACACTCAAACTCTTGTTGGGGAGAATTGTAGGATTGTGTTAGTATTGCCATGGCTAGGACAAAATACCTGACAGAAACAACTTAAAGGAGGAAGGACTTATTTTGGCTTACAGTTTCAGAGGGTTCAGTCCTTGGTTACTTGACTCAATGCATTTGGGACAAATACTGTGGTGGTAGGAGCATGTGGAGGAAGAGAGACTGTTTAGCTCCATGGTATAGGGGGCTGAGAGAGACAAGCAGAGGCTTGGCTTAAGATACCCCCAGCACCCGCCTCCAGTGACCTACTTTTTCTAGCTATGTCCCACCTCTTAAAGTTTCCAGAACATCCCAAAATAGCGCCACCAGCTGGGGACCACACCCCCAACATATGAGCCTTTTTTGGGCAATACTTCATTGTCAAGTTTTTTCTGACAGTACTGGGAGGTTGAACTCAGGGTCTTGTGTACTACTTAGGCCTTGCCTCCCTCAGGACATTTCATATCAAAACCACTACAAAAATGTTGTAGTCACTTCTGTTATCTTTTTTCTTTCAATGTGGTTATATCATTCATTGAAAAAGTCAGATTTGTTTTTATTTATTTATTTATTTTTAGTGGTACTGGAGTTTGGACTCAGGATCTCATGCTTGCCAGGCAGACACTCTACAACTTGAGCCTCTCTTCCAGACCCTGTGGCCTCTTCTGTGGTCTGTCACTATCCCCTCGCACAGTCACTTCTCCTTTCTCTGAGTCTCCCTCAGTGTCTTATCCAGCTGTGGTGCCAGGCCTCAGGGTTATAGCTTCTTAGGTCACCTCAGGTCTGGATGTGGTTAAGTGCCTCTCAATTCAGAGAACTGTGAACTAGAACCACGAGTTACTCTTCCCTCTCCATATCCAGCTTATAGGAGCAGGCAGGCCAGGAATGGTTCTGCTCAAAAGCCACAAGGCAGATTCTTTGAGATGGGCCTCTCTGCTTTTCAGAGTGGGAGCCTGAAGGCCAGATATGGCCTTGGTTGTGAGGGCTGAACAGAGGCCCTCATAGTCATGCCTGGGTTTGGTATGCTTTGCTGCCATTTCTCAGTTTGACAGTTGTCAACTGAGAAACTAGAGATGTGAAATGATTCAGTCCCTGTACTCCTGTAAGTTCTGCATTCAAGAGAATGTTCATCTGACTTCACAGAATTCTGTCAGTGCCTCTTCAGTTCTGCCTAAGACGTTCCTAATGAGGCCCAAACATTTATCTAAATTGTCAAAGCATAGGGTTCTTTCCTCTACCATGTGACCTAGTGGCTACACCTGTTTCCTGCCTGTTCTGTACCACGCGAGAGATCACAGCACACACCCCAAGCACAATTCCTGTGTTAGTCACTGTTGCTGCATAACAAACCACCACAAAATTTAATGGTATAAAGCCACCAGTACTTGTTGCTTCCCGTGGTGTGGTTGTTGGTCTAGGCATGGCTGCTGGGCCTGGCTGGGTGTCTTGGTGGCCTTGCTTTGTACTTGAGGCACTGGCTCTGTATGTGGCTGTCACCTACCAGGACACCTGATTGGGGTGTCCTTGGGTGAAAGGTTCTTTGTCCTGTTAGTTAAAGATGGCCAGAGGTTGTGTGAGTTTTGTGGGGTGGGGAGTAAGAAATGTCCCTTTTGGATAGGAGGAGCCATGAAAGATAGGGGGATTTTGAATCCATAGCCACAGTGCCAGAGTGCTGGAGTGCTTCCCTGTGGTTAGTTGTTTCTGCAGGACAGGAGGGGGCTGCGTATGCCTCCTTGAGGAGGAACCCACACACCCACAGAGGCAGGTCTATCTTTGAGATTGAACCCAACACTTTTGGAATGCTAGGCAGATATTCTACCAGTTGTACCATGCCCCTAGCCCTTTTTGCTTTAGTTTGATTGATAGAGTCTTATGGTTTTACTTGGGGCTGGCTTTGGACCACAATCCTCCATGTAGGTCTATCTTGAAGGACCAGAGGATCTTTTTTCTTCAGCGGGGAACTTTTTTTATTATCCTACTTGAAAGTAGAGATTTACTCTTGCTACATGTTTTTTGTTTTATTTGCTTATTTATTTATTGTTTGTTTGTTTGTTCCTTTTTAAAAGAAGATGGGGGAGTAAAAGCTAGTTAAATTACTTTGTAAGTACTGATTTCTTCCCTGATTTCTATCCCTGGTAGATATTTGGGATAACTTGGGAACGCTCATTATTTACAAACCTGGCAAGGCTATTCCCACCAACAACCATGTGGCAAGAGCTGTCTGTTACAGAGGAGAAAGAAGCTGTCTGTGGAGAGCTGGAATTCATGATTTGCTTTAAGTGAAATGGACATTTTTCATTGAGATGTGAGCTGTGGAGCTGCATTTCAAGATGTGGATGTAAGCTGCATCTCAAGATGCAGGTTGTCCTACAGGAGTCCTGTCCTCAGCCATCTCCATCTAACACTGGCTCATGACCTGGAATGGTTTGCCTCCCCACCCTTAGTGGCCTGGAGAGGCTTCCTTCCTCTGAGGAATTTGTTCTGGTTGTCTGCCATGTGTTCCAGTTTTGTCATTGTCCTCTGAATGATCCACAGTTCTGGTTCAGGAGGACAGCTTCCTTTCCAAGTTCCTGCAGCTTTCTTAGAGTTTAGGTGTTCCTGCTTAATCTTACTGTTCACATTGGAGTTGGTCTTAATATATTTCAAAGACCAGATCCCATGTTTGTATTTCTATTCAACTCTAATTTCTGACCTAGCTTGAGGTGAAATAAAGCCTTGAGGATTGCAAGAGTGGTGAGCTGATGGTCAGCAACATCAGGTGCTTCAGGGGAAAAATCAGGATGAGCCTGTGGGATAGGTGTGCCACTGCTCAGAGACTGTCCTCTGAGCTGCCACTTCAGGCCTTCCACAAAGCAAATCCTAAAATGAACTTCCTGGTGTGAAAGCCTGTTGGGAGGAATGCCTGAGCTGGAGGCCATGGTGTGGCTGTCACCATGAGGGGCTCCTCACTGTGGGTGGATGTGGCTCATCTTTACATGGAACTGGGTCCCCCACAGTCTACAAAGCTGAGCAACGGCCTGTTTCTCTTCTCTGTGCTGCATAGCCTGTGTTCTCCTGACTCATGAGTGGCCTCCTCTTCCTGTATCTTCAGTCCCTTCTCAATGCCCTTTGTCTTCCCCAGGGGTCTCTGGCAGGTCCAAAGGTATTTTTTAGCCACATGTCCACATGTTGGTGTCCACAATGCATTTGGCACTGTAGATAGCCTCTCTTGGGGGCTGACTTTCTGCTGCTGTCAAATGTTGGTGTCCTTGGCTCTGGCCATCTCTGTTCTTCCTAGGGACTCCCTGCTTCTCAAACTACCTTTTATCTTCTTGGGAACCCTCTGCTTCTCCAGGGGATTTTACTGAGGGCTCCCTGATCTGGGCCAGGGAACCAAATGCCAAGGGACAGTGATTTAGGAAAGGGGACCTAGAGACAGGTTGGGCCTAGTCTAGAGGGCAACAAGGCCAAACCCACAGATTTGGGAAGAGGATGAGCAGAACTCTGACCTCTTTGCTAAACTGCAACCTGCTTTGAAAAATGACTGTTGCAGAGGTGATAATTGTGGTTTTTGTTTGTTTGTTTGTTTGTTTTTTGGTGGAACTCTGGTTTGAACTCAGGGTTTCATACTTGCAGTGCAGGCACTCTACCACAGTAATTGTGGTAATTTGCAGAATGGATGGAACACTACCCAGCCGTAGGAGAGAAAGGGCTGCAGCTTTGCACAGCAGCAGTGGACATCACAGACTATTTCTGAAGGAAGGAGACACAAGTGAGGGCACATCTATGATTCATCTGAAGTTCAAAAGCAACAGACCCAGCTAAGATGATGGCTGCCCATGGGGGAAACGGCTAAAGGGCCATAAGAGGGATGCTTCTGCTTATGGTGTGTGTGCAGATCCCCTGTGCATGTCCCTAAGCTGCCCCAGGGACCCTAGCTCTTCTGTGTCCTGGTTGCTCCTCAGTCAGAATCTCTCAAAGAGACTGCAACTGGGTATCCCACAGTTGTCTGAGCCTATCATGTTCTACACATTCTGCTCACCCTCTTCCCAGGCCTGTGTATTTGACCTTGTTGCCTTCCAACCTAGGGCCAGTCTATCTTCAGGTCCCCTTTCCCTGGGTCACTGTTCCCTGGCCCTTGGTCTGCTCTGCTACTATGGTTCTCTCTTATCCCCCCACTTGCTTTCTTAGTGTGTTTCAGGCCTCCACTCCATTGCTAAATATTCTCTATACAATACAAATCTGATCATATCACATATCCAAAGGGATTCCCCTGGCCTTGGCACTGCAGTGAGGCCCATTCACCAGGTACATCCTGTCCCACTGGAGGAAACCCAGTAGGCCTGCAGCCTGCTCCCAACCCTGAGCGAACTGCCCCTTAGCCTGGCTAGTTCTCAGCCTTTCCATGTTCTGATCACGAATTACCCTCTGACTGACTTCCTCCACAACAGGTGCTGTCCCCAACTTGACATGCCCTTTTGGCCTGTCAACAGGTCCTCCAGGTCATGAGTGAGCTGTGGAAAGCTATGTGCCCTGTCTCCTTCCTGAGACCTGGCACCCAGTAGGCCTCTGCTCACCACAAGTCCCAGAGACCTGAAGAAAGGCAGGAGACATTGAAGATGTCCACTGTCATCCCCAGTAGTGTGTGTGTTTAAGCAGACCTGTTCACAAATGTATATACATCACACACGCAGTTGTTTGAACTGTGAAGCCCCACCCAGACTTCTCCCAGCCCATCTACATTGCCTGCCTGGGTTCGAGAAACGAGTGACTGGTTCGAGTCACTTGTGCAGTGACTGCACACATGATTGTGTGTATGTGGAAATACTTTGTAGGACTGACTGCTAGAAGGGGGATGGTTGGCCAGAGGGTACATGCTTTCTAAGTCATGGATAAATTACCTCCTCATAGGATTTTATTTTAGTTAACTAATTCATTAAATTTTTTGTGGTGCTGAGGAGTAAGCCCAGGGGCCTCATGCATACTAGGCAAACGCTCTGCTGTGCTGTTAGTACTTTTTTAATTGCTGGGACAAATACTGAGAGAAACAATTTACACAGAAGAGATTTATTTTGGCTCATGGTTTCAGATCATGGTCGACCGCATTGTTTCTGGGCTATGGTGAGGCAGAACATCATGGTGGAAGAACGTTGACTCATGGAATCCAGGAAGCAGAGTAACAGTAAGGGCCCCAAGGACAAGGTTTATCTTTCTAGGATCGGCTCCATTGACCTACTTCCCCTAAGTAGGCCACATCTCCTACTTTCTGCCACCTCCCAATAATGCCATCATGTTATGAATCCATCAAGGAATTCATCGATGGGTGAAGGCAGAGTCCTCATGGTCTAATCACTTCCCAGAAGCCTCAGGCTCTGAACACCACTGCATTGAGATCCAGGCCTTCAACACATGAGCCTTTTGCCGGGCACTTCATATCCAAACCATTAACATGTGCCCTCCTGGGTTTTACCACTGTATTGGAGTGACACTGCCCCATCTCCTTGGTGACCTTTCCTCACATATACTTTGGTGATGTTTCCATCTTTGGATCATCTAGATGAAAGTGGTATCTCGATTGTGATCTTTTTTCTTTTCTTTTTGTGGTGCTAGGGATTGGAACCCAAGACCTCAGTAACACTAGGCAAGGACTCCCCACTAAATACCCCAGCTCTCCTTGTAGTCTTTATTTACATTCTTAGGAATAATGAATGAGCAGTCTTTCCACAGGTCTCTTGGGCCTCTGGTCTTGACCTTTGACTGTCTTCCGACTATCCTCCTGGTCAGCTGTCAATTGACCTGTGGGCCTTCTGTATACAACTACTTTTTTTTTTGTCTGTACTGAGGTTTAACTCTGCTAGGCAGGTGCTCTACTACTTGAGCCACACCCCTAGCCCTCGTGGGCCGTTTATGTAATGGAGGAAATTAGCTGTTTGTCTTCCTCATGTTGTAAATATCCCCTAATTTCTCTTCTTAAGAAAAATGTTCATGGTGTTTTCTTCCTCATACACTGAAAGTTTTTATTTGTTTTTATTTTTGAAGTCATACTTATCTTTATTTCTGAATTTTATATAAGAAATCCCTTTACCACTTAATAGCTAATAAAAGTAATTCTCTTTTTTTCTTTTAATACTTTTATAGTTTCATCTTTTACCTTTACTTTTGGTTTGTCCATAATTCACTTAGTTTAAGATGAGGGTAGGCCATGGTGAATTTTTTTCCTGGGTTAGGGGTGTAGGTCAGTAGAGTGCTTGCCTAGCATGCATGAGGCTCTGGGTTTGAACTCTTAACTCTGCAAAAAACCTATTTTCTTGTATAATAGTATGAAATCATTACAATTAAAATAAAAAACTTTTATTACAAAAGAAATGAAAGTTTAGAATCCCACAGAAGCATTTGTTGCTCCCATAAATCCTTCATGCTGGCTTTACTTGCCCATGCTATTCTGAGACCATCAAGAACAGCACAAAATGCAAGCTGCATATTCTCCTGAGGACAGCACATGGAACTCTCCTCATGCACTCTGTCACCTGACTATGTAGCCACCGCAATTTTTGAATAAAGTTAGAAAAGTCTAAAGGATGTGTCAGCAATGAGATGTGACCTTACACCACAAGTACTCTTTTTTTTTTTGCTTTTTGGTAGAACTGGGGCTTGAACTCAGGGCTTTGCACTTGTAAAGCAGGTGCTCTACTACTTGAACCACTCCTCCAGTCCATTTTTCTGTGGTTGTATTGGAGATGGGGGTCTTCTGTTTGCCTGGGCTGGCCTTAAACCGTGATCCTTCCAATCTCAGCCTTCAAGTAGCTAGGATTTAAGTGTGCCATGCATGGGTTGCAGATTGTGCTCAAGGAGTCTGGTGTTCTCTTATTTCTTTTCTTTTTTGGTGGTATTGGAGGTTTGAATTCAGTGCCTCGTGCTTGCCAGGCAGGAGGCAGATGTTCTACCATTTGAGCCATGCCCCAGCCCTTTTTGCTTTAGGTATATAGGAATAGGGTCTCAAGTTTATTCTTGATTCAGCCTGGATTTCAGTCTTCCTATTTATGCTTCCCACATAGCTGGGATGACAGCCATGTGCCACCACATCTAGCTTTTATTGGTTGAGATGGGGGTCTCTCACAAACTTTTTGCATGGGCTGGCCTCAAATCTCAGTCCTCCACTCTCTGCCTCCTGAGTACCTACAATTACAGGCATGAGCCCCTAAGCCTGGCTTTGATGTTCTCTTTCTTTCTCTCACTGATTACCAGGGGCGACCTGACTGAAGATAACATGGAGACAGAAAATGCAGCAGCTGCAGCTGCTGCAGCCTTCACAGCCTCTTCGCAACTCAAGGAAGCCGTGTTAGGTAGGAAGCCATATTAGGTGGGACATGAGTTAGGTGAGAAGTGTGTTAGGTGGGTAGCCTGCCTTCTGTGCATCTCGTGGCTGTGGGGCCAGGAGTCTCGTCCTGTGATTGAGATGGGTAACAGTCAGGGCTAACAAGGCCCTTGTCTGGGTTGTTCCCTAGTGTGTGAGAGGCCAAGCCCCTGAACGAGGAGGCATGTTGTTTCTGTAATGATAGGCACCTCTGCTGGTGGATGGTGGGAAGAACAAAGAAGGGTTACCCCAGATCTTGCAGCTCTCTCCTCTTTTTGGATTTTGTTGCTATCTCTAAATCTGTTGCTATGACTATCAGTGAGTGGTGGAGGTGTTCTTCCAGATTAAAGCCCTGGGATTCCTAAGACCTACCTTCCCTAGCATTGTTTCAACTAAAGCTTTTTTTTTTTTTTTTTTTTTTTTTGGTTGGACTGGAGTTTGAACCCAGGGCTTTGCTTGAGCTATATGCCTCCACTCCTCAACTAAAACTTTATTTAATTTCCTATATGGCTCTTCAGCTGACCCATAGGTTCATGGGATTACATTAACATTACTGTTAATAGTTACTGGTAATAGCTAAATCTACTTTGTGGATTCGTCTGAAAGTCTGACTGGGATCGATGAGAATCCCTGCCCACCTTGGCTCTATTTTGGGACTTCCTTGATCTCTGTTTTGGTTCCCAGGTTGGCACCAGCTTTGTGTATTTGCAAGAGGTGCTTTGGAGAGGTTGTAACTGATTTTCTGTTTCTACCCTTTCCTGTCATGTGCCTGTGAGAAGTGAAGATGGCTGAAGAGGGGGAGAACTTGGAGGCTGAAATTGTGTACCCCATCACCTGTGGAGACAGCAGAGCCAACCTGATTTGGAGGAAGTTTGTGTGCCCTGGCATCAATGTGAAATGTGTTCAGGTGAGGGTCAAGTGAAGTTACACCTTCACCTGCATGTGCTTCTGCTCTGGGGGCATGACCTGTGCCAGATGCCCAGGAGGCTAGAATCCCATGGGCTTGAAAAGACCAAGGAGGCTCGGCAGACAGGGCACAGTGAGGAAAAGCCTCCAGCAGGAATAATGCCTGCTGTGGAGTGAAGCAGTGGGAGGCAGACAGGAAGGTGGCATTGCTCATGTGGTGGAGGCTGTGGCGTCTGAGTTGGGGAGTGACCTTGTTTGGCAGATTGAGATGAGCTTTTAAGAGACTCGTTTAGTGGCTGGAGGGAAGCTAGGTGGGAAAGGCATTCTCTTTCTGGCAACATGGTGAGTGAGTCATACAGACTCACCTTGTATTGAGAACTGCTAAAAATTCCTGCAAGAGATTTTTTTTTTCATTTTTCTTTTATTATTCATATGTGCATACAAGGCTTGGTTCATTTCTCCCCCCGCCCCCACCCCCTCCCTTACCACCCACTCCGCCCCCTCCTTCTCCCCCCCTCAATACCCAGCAGAAACTATTTTGCCCTTATTTCTAATTTTGTTGTAGAGAGAGTATAAGCAATAATAGGAAGGAACAAGGGTTTTTGCTGGTTGAGATAAGGATAGCTATACAGGGCATTGACTCACATTGATTTCCTGTGCGTGGGTGTTACCTTCTAGGTTAATTCTTTTTGATCTAACCTTTTCTAAAGAGATTTTAATAAAGCATTTCCAGATGCTACTGCAAGTTGGCAGAAAAGGCAGAATTCAGTAGGCCCAGGACCCAAGTGGGGATGCATGGTACAGGCAGGCAAAATGCTGAGTCCAGCTCTTGCCTAAGACCCTTGCAGGTTGGGACAAGGGCTTCCAAGGGTATATTGGCCACCAAAAGAGACCCATGATGTCCTCCCTCCTTATGCCCCTGAGCAAGAGCACTCCTGTTGCCTCTGCTCTGAGCACGAGGTCAGAGATCACCCTCCATGGCCCTCATCTGTGGTCAATGTGGTCAGAAACCTCAGTGGAGGAAAGTTTAGTGATAAGTGGTTCCTGACTGGCACTTCCCCCATAATCTGACAGAAGCATGTGAAAACCCTCTTTAGAGGAATTTACCTTCATCTCAGACTGGAAGTAATTTCCACAAAAATGCAAGAAAAGGAACAGCTCACAAGAAAACAAACAAAACGCTGGGCCGGGCATGGTGGTTCATGTCTGTAATCTCAGCTAGTTGGAAGACAAAATTGGGAGAATTGAGGTTCGAGGCTGGTCCCAGGCAAAAAAGCAAGACCCTATCTGAAAAATAACTAAAGCAAAAGGGGTTGAACATGTGGTTCAAGTGGCAAGCACAAGGCTCTGAGTTCAAACCCCAGTATCACCAAAATAAAGTAAATAAAACACTGGACACAGGAAGCAAGGCAGCCTGTGTGAGCATGTGTTCAAGCAGCAGGCAATGGAGTTAGACCCACAGAAATTGCAGAGGTGGGACTTTTTATTTTCTTGTGATGCTGAGGATTGAACGCAGGGTCTCACACATGCTAGGCAAGTGCTCTACCAGTAAGTCACACCTCAGCTCCAGGCATTGGGATTTTAAGACATAATATTAACAATTATGTTTATTTAAAGAAATAAAAGAGTTAAGTATAAACAGATTTGACAAAAACCCAAGTCAAAATGAAGAATAGAATTAGAATTAAATCCTTGGTGGACAGGTTCAGATATGAGACAAGCTGAAGAGATGGTTAGTGAACTGAGGGATAAAACTAAAGAAGTCATCCAGAATACAGTCCAAAGATGCAAGAAGGTTGTAAATAGAAGCTAGAGAAAACCTGGCATGTCTGTTTACAAAGAGGGAAGCTAAGGACTTCATAAAAAGGGGTCCCTCAGCCCACAGTTTGAGGGACCTGACATATTTCCAAGTTGGATGAAAAGACTCTGCTGCCTTCATCTGTGACAATTTAACATTAAAATAAATAATAGTACTCAGGCACTGATGGCTCATGCCCATTATCCCACCTTCTTGGAAGGCTGAGAAAGGGAAGATCATGGTTTGAGGCCAGTTCAGGCACATAGCAAGACCCCATCTCCAAAATAACCATAGCAAAATAGATTGGAAGTATGGCCTGCTTTGCAAGCATGAAGTCCTGAGTTCAAACCCCAGCCCTATCAAAACAAAAAACAAAAAAACCCACTAATAATAAATAACAGTAGGCTGGGGTGTAGCTCAGGGGTAAAGTGCTTGCCTAGCATGTGTGAGACCCTCGGTTTAACCCTAGTACCACAAGAGAAGAAGAGAAACCGTGGTCACGAATTTCAACTTGAATGGGATCAAAGTCTGTGAGTCCATATTTATTATGGTGTATTTCATGTCATTTGTTCTTACTTATATTAAGTGTACTTATTTATATTAAGTACATGGACAGGGAGAAGTGAAGCACTCACCTGATGCGAGAATGCCAGCTAATGAATATGGAAGGAGTGGTAGATGGGCTAGGACTCCTCAGTGGGTGTTCAAACTAGTCATGAAGGATGATGAGGAGCATTCTCAAAGTATTCCTCAAAGATTACATATTATTACAGAGGGAACACACTGCAGTGCAGAAGCCAGCCAGATGCTTCCAGTCCCGGTGGTGAATGTCTGCATTCTCAGTGTCAGACAGTGCCGTCTGATAGAATGGATGGGCAGGAATTCCTGTGTATTCCTGCTAAAAATTCACAGCCTGATTCTACTCCTGAGAAAACCTCAGACGCAAATTGAGAGACAGTCTACAAAGTACCTGATGTGAATGCTTTAAAAATGTCAACATGAAGAAAGACAATGGCAGACTGAGAAGCCATTCCATAGTAAAGGAGCCTGAAGAGCTATGGCCATATACTTCAATCTTGGTTTGAGTATTGGTTGCATCAGGAAAAAAATAGTGAGAAAGGCAGTTTGTGAATTTGAATGAACTACAGATTAGATAATAATGCACTAGTGATAACTTCCTGATTTTGAGACTTGTTCTGTGATTGTGTTTGAATGCCTTGTTGTTAAGAAATCTGTATAAGCACCCTGGGGTGGAAGGCTGAGTCCAGAAGAGGGCAATGTGTGTGTATACATGACCATATGGAGGTGATGGTGGCAGAAGAGCCAGATGAAATAGCTGTGAATCCACAGGAAGGTGAAATGGAGCTCCTTGGGCTATTTTTGGATTTATTCTGTAAGTTTGAAATTATATCAAAATTAAAAGTTAGATAAAAAATGTGCATTATCATAATGATGCACCAGAACAACAGGGAGGAAGAACCTCAAAGCAGCCAAAGAGCAGAGGAGAGCCGTTTAGAAGAAAGATCCTGAAAGTGGTATGGTGGAAGCCAGAGGTAGTGGGACTGGACCCTCCCTGTCCAAAAGAGAATGATTTTGTATGGTGAGATTATCTCTGAAAGTGAGGGTGAAATAGACTTTTTCAGGCAAAACTGAGTTGCCACCAGTAAATCTGCCTTAAGGGACATTCTGAATGTTTCAGGCTGAGGAAAAATGATCCTGGAGAGAAGTGTGAGATACAAGGAGTGAAGGGTGAGGAGACATGAGGGCAGATCCGACAGTTGACTGCCAGCATTGATGGTGATATCTTAGGAGGAGTTAAAGACAAAACACTGGCCACATAGCAGTGCCCAGGGACCTGTGGGCTCAGCCATTGGGGAATGTAGAGCTCACAGAGAAGAACCTGGAGCTCAGAAGGGCAAGAAAGGGAAGGAGCAGCAAGTGGAACAGACAAGGCTAGTGGAGCAAAAGCGCCGGACTTGAGTAGAAATAGGCTAGGCAGGCATAAGCCAGGTGGCAGAGGTGGCATCTGTGTCTGAGGATGAAGGACAGCGTATGCTGGTGGCCACAGGAGTCTTCCAGAGGACTCTATCCTTACCAGGGAAGGGAGTACTCTTACCTGCTGTTCTGGGTAATAAGAGAGTGTACAGATGCTCAGAGCATTGGGGTCATTGTCTCCATCAGCACTTGTTCCCCAGGCTGGTCACAGCAGCCGTGACTATGGCTGCATGCCAATGTGCTCTGCTTGGGGGCAGAGGGCCCTGGAGAGGCACCCTCCAGGGTTCAAAAATTCATTCCCAATCTGCTTGTTTTCCAAGTCAACATGGGCTTATTTCCTTCTTTTGTTTAACAAGATTGAATAGGGTATTTTACTCTTTCAGAGGCTTTCTTATTTTTTGGTGGTGCTGGGGTTTGAACTCAGAGCCTCATGCTTGCTAGGCATACACTCTACCACTCAAGCCATACTCCCAGCCCTTTTTTGCTTTAGTTATTTTTGAGGTAGGATCTCATCTTTTTGCCCAGGGCCAGCTTCAGAACACAATCCTCCTACTTATGGACTCCTGTGTAGCTGGGATCACAAGTGCACACTGCTGTGCTAGGTTTATTGATTGAGATGGAGTCTTACTAACTTTGCCTGGGCTGGCCTCAAATTGTGATCCTCCAGATCTTTGCCTCCTGAGCAGGGATGAGCCACTACACCCAGCCCTTTCTCAGGCTTTCTGCACTCCAGCATAGGGTAAACTAGCAAGCCTCAGAACCCCGTCAATCAGGAGAATGGTTCCCCTGACTTTGAAATGGATGTATGAAAGCATCATGCAAGACAGGGTGGCCTTAGGAGTAGGCCTGGCTGGGCAAAGGGGGTCATTCACAGCTTAGTTTAAATGCTTGTATATTTTGATTAATATCATCTATTATGATGTAATTTGGGTATGTATTGCTTACAGAATAAATAGCATATAAGAAGGAGGTCTGAGACAGGCACTGGTGGCTCATGCCTGTAATCCTACCTACTTAGGAAACATAGATCAGGAGGATTGCAGTTTGAAGCCAGCCCAGGTAGTATGCGAGACCCTATCTCAAAAATACTCAGTATAAAAAAGGGCTGGTAGACTGGCTTAAGTGGTAGAGTGCCTGCCTAGCAAGTGTGAGGTACCACAAAAGAAAGGAGGTCTGCTGTATCCTGTCTGGAGGAAGAGAGTGCCACAGGTTTTCTGCTCTGCGTTCACCCTTCCTCCATCCCCTCATTCCCCCTCTCCAGTCTCACACATAGTAGGTGCACCTTGTGGGGCTGCAGCATGCCCATGTGTCAGGTAGAGAGCCAGTTCCCACTCGTCACTTGCCTACACTGCGTTGTTATACCTGAGCGTTCTGCAGTGTGCCCTGCAACTTGCAGAGCCATGCTGTGGGTCTCATCCCTACAGCAAACCCCTGGTGCAGGCTCAGGCAGGAGGGGAGAAGAGGGCATGCTGGAGCTCCACCAGACCTGTGTCTGGCTGAGCTGACCTTGCACTGCTGTGCCTCCCTCCAGTATGACGAGCATGTGATCAGCCCAAAGGAGTTTGTGCACCTGGCGGGAAAGTCCACTCTGAAGGACTGGAAGAGAGCCATCCGAATGAACGGCATCATGCTCAGGTGGGCATCTGGCCAGTAGGGACAGTGGGAGGGGCTTGTAGCCATTGCTTTTTTCATTTGGTTTTGGGTTTTTGAAGACGAGGTGCATTTTAGATGTGGTGGGTGCTGATAGCTACCTCCTGAGTGGCCCACCCAAGGAGGTGGATCCCCCCCATCCTCTCAGCAGTGACACTGCCAGACATCTAGAGTGGTATTTTTGGGTTAAATCTCATTTTAATTTCTACTGTTTTTTTTAACCTGGATACACTCATAGCTTGTCAGCAGTTTTTTAAAATTATAGGTATAATTTGGTTTTTGTGCATCCGATAGGCAGCTTAGTTTACTCTCTTTTGCACATCCTTTCCTTCTGTCTTTTTTTTATCACTTTTGTCTGAAATCTCATATGAAGTACAAATAGTAGGTAAACCCTGCTTGGCTTGCATTCTTTATGAACTGACAGCCAAGCCTGAGTCTGTATGCTTGGAAGGCTCAGGTGTCATAGGGAGAGTGCTGGCAGCCAGTGTCCATCTTGCTTCCTAAGCAGGTGCACTGCTTTGTGCCAGAGTCAGTTTGGCCTCAGAGTGACTAACCCCAGGTCCTTCCTCACAGCTCTCAGCCCCATACCACTGAGCTACCTTCTGGTTTTTGTAGAATGTAGATGTGTCATGTGGGAAGTGTGTTATGCACTGCACCTGTTCCTAAGGCCAACACTGCCCACAGGCCAAGTGAGACCAGACTCTGACTGTCCATTCACGAGGCATAGCAGGCTGGCTGAGACACCTAGCTTAGATCCAAGGCTGCAGCAGAGGCAGGAAGGGGGGTTTGGAGGGCAGATCCTAGTAGCTCAGAGCAGTCACCTCTCTGGTAGATGAATTTGAGTGCTCACAGCCTTGAGTGCTGTCGTAGGGATCGTGGGGCAATCCTGTACCTTTCATAGGGCAAGGCTTCCCTAGAAATGATTCCCACCTACATCTGCCTCAGAACTGAGCCACTTGCCACCTTGGTTAGCTGTGGGTCTGTTCCCCTGGAGCTGCAGTCACAGTGTGGACAGACAACTCCAGGTCACCCACCAGCTAGTGCTCTCGTCTCCTTCCTGTGGATGGAATGCTGTGTAAGTGGCTTGGGGTGACTGCGCTATCTGTAGCACATTCCCAGGTGGGGTGCAGCCTACCTCCCTCTTCACAGGAGCCTGACCCCGATTGGTGCCTCTGCTGAGACCTGTTCCTTGCAGGTGGATAGTCCAAGTCAGAGTGGTGGGTGAGGTGTTTGGGTTGGGTCCCACCTGGGCTGCTCTGTCCTCTCCACAGGAAGATCATGGACTCCGGGGAGCTGGACTTCTACCAGCACGACAAGGTCTGCTCCAACACTTGCCGCAGCACCAAAATTGACCTCTCGGGCGCCCGTGTGTCCCTGAGCAGCCCCACTTCCACTGAGTACATCCCGCTTACTCCAGCCGCGACTGATGGTAGGTGCAAAGGACTGCCCATCTCTCACGTCAGAGCAGCTGTTCTGACCAGCCCCCTTGGGCTGCTGTGCACCTCTCCTGCTACCTGCAGGCAGCCACCATCCACGGGGCCCTGCAATGTGGGTTGGCCTCATTCTTTCTGGTAGGAAGTCTGATGAATCACTGGGCTCATTGACAAGGAGGGTTACTCTTCTTTTCCGTCATTTTTATTATAAAGTAGTAATCTGTATGTAGAGAAGGGTATTGAGAACAGTATAGGTAGGGGCTGCCAGTACCTCCCAGACCTCTTCCCTCCCACCCGAGGTCTGCCTTGATGTGAGGGTGCCCTCCCCTCCATGCTTGACAGTTTACGGAGCTGTGTCTTTCTTAGACCTCTTGGTATCGGCAGCAAGTTTTCTCTGCCACTTGGATTTTGGGTGACTGTTTAGGACATTCTTCTTGATAATCTCTTGTTCAGAACTGAAGAAGGATTAAATTTTTCCTGGAACTCCACTGAACTTCTGAATGAGAAATTCTTTTCTAAATTGAGGCAAGATGGAAGTTGTATCCTAAGCTTCTAGTCGCATCACCTGGTGATGTTGGGCAGTGTGGTCTTTTCAGCACTGTCACTTGCTATCACTAAACTATCACTCCTGTGTTGGGCAAGGGTGTGCTTCCATATGATCAGGGACATCTTCTTTGCTCACCCAGGTGGAGGTACTTGAGGGATCTTGACATACTGCTGGTGAGAAGGAGAGTGAGGCCTAGGGTGTCCTGAGGTCTCATCATTCTGCCAGTGTGTCCTTCCCTGCACCCTTCTTGGAAGGCTGGCTGGTTGCAGTGCTGCATCCTTAGGAGACACCTAGGGACACTAAGGTTGCTGCAATCAGAAGAGCTGACCTTTGTCAGCCCTTTGCTCAGTCTTTAGTTATACTTTACAGAGACTTGAGGATGTTGCTTATCAGCTCCTTTCTGTAACAGCCCCAGGCTGGATGCTGGGACTTGGGAGGAGCCCCTCCTACAATACACTGGAGCTCAAGGCAGTGTAGAGAGGGGATGGTCAGGGTCTGGTGCTACCTCAGAGGTTGAGCCCAGAACCCTCTGCCCTGCCTTATCTTTTTTTTTTTTTTAATTAACATACATTAATAACATGAAGGGATTTCATTTTGATAATTCCATACATGCATAGTGTTCCTTGAACAAGTTCATCCTCCATTATATTTGCATCTCTTCCTCTCCTTGCCCTGCTGAGGCTAGTGAGGTGTTCTGAGCACACTTAGGGCAGGCTGGACTAAGCTATGGTATTGTATGGATTAGGTGAATTGAATGTATTTTCAACCAGATGTATTTCCAACTGATGATGTGTTTATCAGTGTGTAACCTCATCATAACTGGAGGAACATCTGTTCACTTACTACTTCAAGCCTTAGTAAAATGGTGGTTAGCCCAGAATACCAGTTTCATGGGATTTGTGAAATTGTTTTGTGGATCCCATGCAAAAGGGCAAAAGGTGTTTTTTTGTTGTTGTTTTTGGTGGGATAGGGATTTGAACTCAGGACTTCATACTTACAGAGCAGGCACTCTACCGCTTGAGCCACACTGCTAGGCCAACTTGCTGTGGTTAGTTTTGGAGATGGAGCCTCCTGAACTGTTTGCCTAGGCTGGCCTTAAACTCTGGTCCTCACAATCTCAGACTCTCAAGTAGCTAGGATTACAAGCTTGAGTCACCAGTGCCCGACCGAAGTTTATATAGAATAGCTCCCACAGTGGAATGAATGATCAATAAATAGTGGTATCCAGGAAAAAAAAAAAGGAATTGGGTAGGGTGACTGGCACCACTAATACCATCTCCTGAGGGAAGGCTAGGCTTTTTGAGCCTCTAATCAAGGCCAAGGCACCTGGGAAAGGCAGTCAGGGTTAGGATTTAGCTCTTCCCATGGTTTGGTCTCCTTAGCTTGGGACCTCTAAAAACATTTGACTTGGCCCCTATATGGTTAGTAAAAGGTTGTATACCAGCCCAAACTATGAAAAACATTTGTTCATGCCCCGATTGATTCCAGGTATGATAATATTCACCAGCACTACATCTTTGATAAGTGGGAAAGGCCGGCATAAGGTTGGAAAGCTTTCTTGAACTCCGCCTGTTTCCGGGTCTACCTCTGAGCCAGGTCTGTGCATGAAGCCTCTGTTGGGAACTCGAAAACTTCCAAGTGTGAACTGTGTGGACAGTTGGGTTTGCAGGCACTGGAAATGGACTCAGGGATAAGCCAGAGTGGATGGTTTGTCTCTCTCTGACTTAGAAAAATGGAAATGCGATAGGCTTACTATGGCATCAATGAAACAGATAGATGAGAGATAAAGGTGAAGTCCAGCCATTTTCTTAGCCAGAGAAAGGAGACAAGGTGGGAAGATAGCCTCCTTGCCTGGCGCTAATGGTCAGTCCAGTGGCCATTCAGTCACACACTTGTTGGGTCAAGTTGCAATGGGACCAGAGGAGCAAAATGGTGGCAATTGCTGAAACTGGGTGATGACTCAGGTATTTTCATTTGTGTGGTAGAAGACATCTGTGATTAAAAATAAACTCACTGTGAGGCACAAAGTCCTTTGGCTACACTAGTGTGGTTGTTTGTCAATTCTGTGAAAAGGGTTATAAGAAGGGATTTAGATGTAGCCTTGGGAGGATCGGCAGGCCTGTGAGGTCATAGGAGCCACCATGCAGAGCAGCACCTACCTACAATTCTGCTTTGTCTGCAGTGAATGGCTCACCTGCCACCATCACCATAGAGACCTGTGAGGACCCTGGTGACTGGACCACAGCCATTGGAGGTATGGGCCCTGTGGGCTTCTCAGAAATGCAGGTGGGCCCATGGGAGAAGTTGCCAGCCTGTGTTCTGGCCCTTGTGGAGTCAGGGTCTGGCCACTCTTATCCGGGGTGCTCTGAGGTGGAGCTCAGCCACTGACCCATTAGACTTAGGGACGTTGATGTGGAGCTCAGCATCCTGTGCTCTGACCTCCTGATGTGATGTCCTTGTGGCTGTGCCTTGCGCTTTCCTGCTGTGGGCAGCTCCATGCACTGACACTCTTCCTGCCCACCTGGCCCCCTCCTTCCCTCACAGATGACACATTTGCCTTCTGGCGAGGGCTGAAGGACGCCGGCTTGCTGGACGAGGTCATACAGGAGTTCCAGCAGGAGCTGGAGGAGACCATGAAAGGCCTGCAGCAGCGGGTGCAGGACCCCCCCCTGCAGCTCCGAGGTGAGGGGACCTGAGTCACCCTCCTGCCAGCTCCCCCAAGGCCCTGCCATGCAGCTGGGATAGAGGCCCAGCCTAGACACAGGACCCTGCTGCACTGAAGGGAGCTGGCAGCGGGAGGGTCGCTTAGTGTGCGTCTAGACTCCTGTGGAGCTGTTTCTTCCTGCTGGCCTGATTGCTGAGGAGTCAGTCCAGTACTGGGGTTTAGGCCCTCTAGGAAGGGGCTCAGGTTCTCACCAGTTATTCATGTTGCTCCTTTAAGATGCTGTCCTTCTCAACAACATTGTGCAGAACTTTGGCATGCTAGACTTGGTGAAGAAGGTGCTGGCCAGCCACAAGTGCCAGATGGACCGCTCACGGGAACAATATGCTCGGGACCTGGCAGGTATGCCTGGTGATAGGCTGGGGGTTCTGGGAGTCCAGAGACTCACTTCTCTGGCTGTGTGTCCACTCACTTTTCTGAGATACAGGCACGTGGGTGAGCTTGTCATTTTTGTGGCCCAGGAAGTGAGAAGATCATAGGCATCACTCATGAAAGAGTCAGTAAAACCCCAGTGACTGTAACTAGACCCGGCCAGTGCAGAAAGCACAGGTCCTTGTTTACTGACCTTTCTGTGGTGACCCACATTGTTTAAGAAAAAATAGCAGAGAAATGAAAAGACCACTTGGTCCTGCCAGAGCTGGACTGCCCCTGTGGTATTTGTGCATTGTTCCAGCTCTCCCTGATGTCAGCACTTACGTGCATGCACTATGTGTGACCGCATGTGTGTGGGAATAGGCTTATTACCTGGCTGCTTTGGCCCCCAGAGCAACTTTCCATGTGAAACTGACTGGAACACATTAATACCAAGGGGAAGGTCCAGCCCATGGCACTTCGGCCTTTGAGCACTGGACCTGGGTCATCCTGAGAGCCACTGAGGGGCCCGTTGCTGCTGACCTTGCTTTTGGCAGGTGGCCCTGTGGTCATCTGGGTAGCCGTTGGCTGTGGTCTGCCCAGTGATGGTGTGTGTGTCCCCCGAGCCCTGCAGAGACACTGTCCATCCCCATCCCCTTGCTCCATGGTGATGCTTGTGTTCCCTGCAGCCCTGGAGCAGCAGTGTGACGAGCACCGCCGCCGTGCCAAGGAACTGAAGCACAAGTCCCAGCATCTCAGCAACGTGCTCATGACACTGACCCCTGTCTCCCTGCCATCCCCTATGAAGCGGCCCCGGCTTGCACGGGCCACATCTGGACCGGCTGCCATGGCCTCACAGGTGCTTACACAGTCTGCACAGATTGCTCTTGGCCCAGGTGTGCCCGTGTCCCAGCTGACCAGTGTGCCACTTGGCAAAGTGGTGTCCACATTGCCCTCCACTGTCCTGGGCAAAGGCTCCCCTCAGGCTCCTCCAGCCAGCTCACCAGCTTCCCCCCTGCTTGGGGGCTATACAGTCCTGGCCTCCTCAGGCTCCACCTTCCCCAACACAGTGGAGATCCACCCGGACGCGTCTAGCCTCACGGTCCTGAGCACAGCTGCCATGCAGGATGGCAGCACGGTGCTGAAGGTGGTCAGCCCACTACAGCTGCTTACCCTGCCTGGCCTTGGCCCCACCCTGCAGAATGTGGCCCAGGCATCACCTGCGGGCAGCACAATTGTAACAGTGCCCACAGCAGCCACCTCAGGGCCTGAGGAGCACACGGCCACAATCGAGGTGGCTGCGATGGCAGAGGACCACGAGCAGAAGTAGCTGGCAGGAAGGGTGAGGCCCTCAGAGGGTGAGGTCCCTAGGGTGGACAGACTGGCTGCCTTGCCTCAGGCCACTGCTGGCAGAGGCCTCAGGGCTGGCTCAGCACAGGCAGGTCTCATGGGCTGAACCAAAGAGGAATTGCCGGATGAATCAAGAGAAGAAAAAAGGGACAGAATGATGCCAGCATCCTGGAAAATAGGTCTTCAAGTTCTAAACTTTCTCCCCTTTTTCTTGGGAAATATACTTTTCCATCTGTTGCTTATTAATCCTGTTTACACATTGGGCCTTGAACAGAAGGTGGGAGATGTTGACCAGGCCTGGGTGCAACTGGTGAAGCAGCAGAGCTGGGGTGGCAGGTGCCCAAGACCCTGCAGGTGCTGGTGGCATCAGAGCCCAGCTGAGTCCCAGTGCCTGCACCTCCCCATTGGGCCTGCTGGAGGGACATTACTGACACATGTCTTGGGAACCATACCCAAGTGTGAAAACCCATGGATCCTATGGATTTGGTTTCTTCCCACAGTTTTCTGTAGGTTTAGTGTGGCTGGCACCTGCTCTCCTGCCTGTGTGGGAATACGTCCCTGGGACTGGGGTACAAATCCTAGGTTGGACCCCCCTTCCTTACCTCCCACAGGTACTCAGGTGGCCAAGGGGCCTGCATAGACTGAGTGTGGCCCAGACACCTTTGCACATGGGTTGCAGGTGTTTTTAAGTGAATTGCTTAGTAGGCTTCTAGGAAGAATCAAATTTATAGCATTTTCAACCAAAACAATGTTGAGTGCCTAGGCTTCTCAAGTCAGCTCTGGGAGGAACCTGGGGCACCTGTGTGTATACCTGGCCAGGTGCTAGAGGTCCTGGGCAGTGCCCCTCCTAGGACAGATATCTGTGGAGGATTCCTCTGGGGGGTGTGCCTTTAGATTCAGGGTGGCTCAGATGGTCCCCTGTGTGCAGCCTGCTATTAGGGCCACCATGACAGTCCTCATATCCCTGAGCCTCCCCCGGAGGTGGAACTAGGGCCCCCTGGCTGACACTGAGTGTTCCCTTTTCCCAGAGAGAGCCCCAGGGCATAAGGGAGGCTGCTCAGAGTGGTGTCAGTATAAGCTTGGGAAGGCAGGACCTGGGATACTCTGTGAAGGATTGTCCATAGGCAGCTCTCAAGGAAGACCATGCAGGGGGCTGTGCTCAGGCCAGAGTCCCTAGAACTAGACGATTTAGAATGTGGAGAGCCATGGCCTCTTGTAGGGTGTGTCCTGGGTTAATCTGAAGGGACCTGCTATCTCCACACTCTCCTGATTCTGTTTGCTGAAGGTCTTTCTCTCAAGGCCCAATAGCAGGAGGAGGCTGCTGTCCTGTTTCGCTGCTTTGAACGGAAATGGCTGTCCTTTTGTTTGTCCATCCATCCCTCTTAAGTCCCAGGCCCCACCTCTGCACTTTTGCTGTGACTGGGTCCCCTATCTGCCTCCCCCTGCCCCATGTCAAGCTACTGAGGTTCTATCTCTTGTTTTCCTTTTGTTATATCATTGTTCACTGTGGTCATGAATCAGCTGGTTTTGGCTGATGTTTACCTGTTTGTGTACATACTCCTTTTTAAAAAAACTTGTTTTTACTTGAGTTGTGAGTCCTGTTACATGTGGCAGTGTGACCCTGTGGGCATCAGGAGGGCTCACAAGTGGGTGCTGCCCAGTGGCCCTGGAATCCCCACCCCATCCCCAGACAGCTTTAGAGACAGTCTATTAAAACAGCTCCTGCCCTGGGAACCAGGGACCTTGCAGGGGCTTTCTTTGGCCCGTGTCCAGGGTGCTCTCTGTCTTTTGGGTTGTGGGTCAGTTTCTTTTCTTTGTAAAAGCAAGAGGGATCTTTTCAGCCCCTGCCCCTTAGTCCATGGAGGTAATGGAAGATGAAGTTAATTTCAGAGCCATACAAAAATACTCCCCAAACCAGCTTCGGAATTAATTCCCCTGCCCCCTGTGGCCTCCTACAGACACCTCCTCAGCCCAACCTCCTGGGCTATTCTTGGCAGTGTGGGAGGGGGCACCCAAGTCCTGGAGGAGGAGATACGGTCTGCCCCCCACCACTTACTTGCATCTGCCTCCTGCTGGCTCCTCAGGGTCACTGGGCTCCCAGGGTCACTGGCCTACCAGTGCCACCAGTCCTGCCTTTTGGGCCCACCCAGGACCCAGGAGGGAAGAGCCTCCCTACCATGTGCAAACACGGGTGTTCATGGCTGCCTTCAATTTGGTTTTTGCAGAGGGTGTGAGCTTCTCCCCACACCTGTACAGAGGTGCCAGGAAGGGCAAGTGTTTGAGTTCCATTTTGTGTGTTTTGCAAGTATCTGCTTGGTACTTTGATTTGAAATAAAAACATTTTTCATAATTTGTGCATCTGTCTGTAATGAAAGGCTATGAAGGGATCCAAATTGAATTTGTAAAGATACCAGTGGACAATGCCAGCCTGTCCTGGGTTCCTCAGAGGCATCTACACTCTGAATCCTTTCCAAGTATGGTCTGGGGCTTAGGTCCCTTCCCAGTGTCCTGAGGTCAAATGATTTGCATAACACCAGGTGTTATACTCTGCCCAGTGTGAAGCTTGGTTTTCTGGAGGCCTTATGTGCTCCTCCATGTCTGCTGCTGAATGAGACTTCCACAAACTGGGTGGTTTACAGTCTGGAAGCTAGAGTCCAAGGTTGAGGCAGATGTGTCTGGAGCTGTTCTGAACACAGAGGAGCAGCCCTGTCCCTGTTCTGACCAAAAGCTGGAGTCCCAAATGCTGCCAACAGAGGGCAGGTGGAAGCCACTAACCCTTTCCTCCAAACTGGCTTTGTCCTCCCTCCCTGGCTAGTTCTAGATCCTACTCCAGTGCTGCATCCTCTCTGGTGCCATTGTACCAAAGGCTCCATGGGCAGCTCCCACACACCCTGCAGAGTGGAGAGGCAGACGCCACATAATTTACTCCCAGGAGTTTGGCACAGCATGTCCTTAGAAAGTCAGGGTGTAGACTCCCTTGTGAGTGCTGGCTATGAGGCTCAACTTGGAAGACCTGCCCTGATTTGCTACTTTCCCATCCAATGCTCTCTTGTAATAAAGAGCTAGCAGATGAATCACAGACCCTTCCTGTCACATTTACACTTGGTCAGCCTTTCTGCCTCCTGCCTACTCACTATCCCCCCAGAACGTCTATAGACACCTCAAATTTAATGGGTCCAAGACAATTCTTGCTTCATTTTTCCCCCTGAATCTGCTGCTTCCCACTGTTCCCTGTGCCACCAGCCACCTAGTTGCTTAGCCTATCTTCCTGCATCCTTTCCTTCCCTGGTCAGGTCCCTCCTTCTCTTAGGCCAAGAGGACTACCCTGCCCTGGCCTCTGGCTCACACATCCCAGTGTGTTGTGTTATGGCCTCTTCTGTCACTCAAGTGCTGGCACTGCCTGAAACCCCTCTTCTCTTCCATCCTGAAGATGCTTTCTACTCCTCACATTTGTTGGGGGTTCATTGGCTACAAAATGTAAGCCCATGAGCTCAGAGGAGTCACCTCTTGGCTCATGCCCACGGAGTAGATGTCCCTGGGATCAGGCTTCAGCACTGCATGTTTGAGGAGAATGGGGAGTGGGGAGCGCCTACCCACTCTGGGCGGAGAGTCCACAGAGGGTAGCCTTGAGTAATGTTCCCCTGTCTGGATAGATGACACTTTGTCAGTTCACCTGCGGACGGACGGACATCTTGGTTGTCAACCAGTTTTGGCTGCTGTGAATAAAGCTGCTGTAAGCAACTGTGTGCAGGTATTTGTGTGCCTTTATTTTTTTGTTTTGTAGTGGGACTGGGGTTTGAACTTGGGCCTCTGCAGTTGCAAAGCACACCTCTAGCCCATTTTGCTCTGGTCATTTTGGAAACAGGGTCTCATGAACTATTTGCCTAGGCTGGCCTCGAACCATTATCCTCCCAATCTCAATCTCCCAAGGAGCTAAGATTACAGGTGTGTGTCACTGGCACCTGGCTATTTATGTGCTTTTTAACTCTTGAGTAAATGTCAAGGAGTATTATTGTTGGGTCATAATGGTAAAGCTATATTTAGTTTTGTAAAAAACCACCAAACTGTCTCCCAGAGCAGCTGTACTATTTTGTATTTCTACCAGCAACAAAGGAGGGTTCTTATTGCTCCATATTTTCACTAGCATTTGGTATACTCAAAGTTCTGAATTTTGGCCATTGTAATAGGTGTGCAGTGGTGTTTTGTTTTGTTTTAGACAAGGTCTCACTGTAGCTCAGGCTGGACTCAAAACAAACTCTTAATCTTTCTGCCTCAGTCTTCTGAGTGCAGGGATTATAAGAATGCCCCTCTATGCCTGGCTTCCCTGTTGTTTTAATTTGCAATTCCCTAATGATGATCTGGATCATCACCTGTGTGTTTGTCGTGGTGTACATCTCTGTGGAGGTTCAGGTCTTTTGCCTATTTTTAATCAGGTTCATTTTCTCATTGTTGAGCTTTATTGTGTTTTTGGGTTTACTTTTTCTTTTCCTTGGCAGTGCTGAGGACTCAAACCCAGAGTTTTGTGCATGCTAGGCCAACACTCTACTATTGAGCTACATCCCCAGTTCTGTGTTTTTTTTTTCAATGATACTGGGATTTTAACTCAGGGCCTCATGCTTGCTAGGCAGGGACTCTTCCACTTGAGCCACTCCACCAGTTCTGATTTGGTTATTTTTTATATAGGGTCTTGCATTTATGCCCAGGCAGGCCAGAACTGTGGTCCTCCTATTTATGATTCCTACCTAGCTGGGACGACAGGCACCCTTGCTAGGAATGTAGCTGTCCTATATGTGGTGGGAAGTCTCACCTACCCACCCTTCCTTGTCCTTAGCGTGGCACTTCCCTCATTGTTCTGGAGAGTTGGCTGTAGGGGTAGGGGTGAAGACCCAGAATGACTAGGCGAGAGGGCCACCCAGGGTAGTGGGCCATTGGGGATATACCAAAGTGACCCTCAGGAGGGGTCTGATCCAGCTGTAAGTTTGATGGGAGTCAAGGCGGCTTCACAGGTCCAGAGCAGTGGGATGGGGGTAGGCAGGGAATGGCACCACCCCTGTGGGCTCTGACACTCTTCTGAGGCCCTTTCCTGGCCTTGTTGAGATGGTCACTGCCCCTAGGTTTCTGTCACAGGGTCTGATCTGAGGGCTGCAGGCACTGTGCACATTTGGGTCAGTGAAGTGGAGGTTGGAGCATGTGGCATGTGCTGTGGGAAAGGGTGGGTTGAGAGCAGCTAGGAGGACCCAGGGATCAGACCCTTCCCAGGCAGGGGATGTCATTCTGGTCTTTGTGGTAGAGATGCAGCACTCCCCAGCCCAGGAGGAGACTCTCAGAGAGAGAACCCCTGGGGTACTTATGAGAGCTGGGCCCTCTCTGACACATTCAATTGCTTCATTCACTCCTATGGCATACTTTCTGGCTGCGTGGGAAGTGTTGGGAGGACAGAGACAGATGTTAAAGTGCTACTTAGGTGGGTCACACCAGAGCTGCTAGGATCAGCTGAGTGGACATGGCTGCCTTGCAAGCAAGCTGGGCCCGGCTGGAGGACTTCCACTGTCAGTGAGCCTGGAGGGCATCTGGTCGGTAGAGGGTGTGGTGAGATGGAAGTGCCTTTGACCCACTTAGAAGTGTTCACGGTCAGGTTTGCCTACGGAAATGAAACTGAGGCGGAAATGAAACTGAGGGTGTAGAGAGCAGATATTTTGTCTCTATCTAATTTGATAAAATGTAAACAACACACGAAAGTTGGAAACACGCTGCAAAGAACTTCTGTACATTTTTATCTGGATTCAGAATTGTTTCCATCTGTTCCTACGGTATCTGCATTTATATCTTTTTGTTTCTGAACTCCTGGGGAGTAAGAGATCATGTCTTAGGCCTAACACTTCAGTATATATTTCTAAGACCAAGGGCATGTTGACGGTACAACTAGGAATTTGACATAAAATGGTGGTACTTACACAGCCTGTGTTAAACTTGTGTTAACTATCTAATGACTTCAGGCATATGTAAGTTTTCTTCTTAGTTGTAAGGTCCCATTCCAGAGTTCTGTCACACTTGGTTCTTAGGCCTTCTTGGCCTTGGTCTGATCTGGCCTCCTTTGGATCTTTCAGAGGAAAACAGACGGTCACTGAACATTACTCTGGGGTCTGTGTGGCAGGTCCTTGTGATGGAGTCGAGTTCTTGAATCTCTGGCAGGAAGCAGGGTGTTGTGTTCTGGATGCCTTGCCACAGTCTGTGTGTTTCTGATGATGTGAACTCTGACTGCTTGGTTCAGGTGCTGTCTGTATGGTCACTGTGGTGGCTGAACACCTCCTGCAGTCAGTCCTCATTCTTGATGGTCACAGGAAAGAGGAAGCAGGGAGGCCACAGAAGGATGCCGGATTGGATAGGGTGACTGAAGTCTGCATCAGCTTTTTTTTTTTGTCTTTGATTTTATGGTGTTTGCTGCTGGTTGTTGGATGTAGGATGTTGGATGTAGGGAGCATCTAGGATGCTTCCTTTCAGCCTAGAATCCTAGTGTCCTTTGCTGGGCCAGGGAAGCTGCTGGAGGAGTAGGAGGAGACCAATTTGGGCCAGGCATATGTGAGGTGCCTGCTACACACTCAGGAAGCCATGCTGAAAAGGCTGAGAGATGTGAGTGTCTAGGGTCCCAGAGGAGTCTGGGCTTGGGGACTAGATGTAGTCAGCATCAGTACATCTGGGAGGCCAGAAAGGCAGCAACCGACTCTGGCTTGAGCACAGCTGAGAGGCCAGTGATCTACCCACGGCAACTTCTGGGCCCCTGTGCAGAGTCTGCATGATTTGTACCTGAGGTAATATGTTTTTCTCGTTATTTTCATTGAGAAAAGAAGGCACTGTACAAAAATCAATGCTGAGACAACAAGAAGTCCCCTTCCTGCCTCAGCCACAGTTTACTTTGGTTTCTGTAACAGGTTCTGTGCTTACCTACTTTTTTATTTTCATACACCTCAATTTTCTTCTATAGCCAAGTGTCTTGAAAAAAATCTCCAGAACAGTGAGCTGTCCCCTTTTCAAAGGCTTCAGAGTATTCCCTGCATGGGAGGGGGCTGCTGGTGATGAGGTACAGGTGTACCCCAGTACTGAGCGCAGAGAGTCAGTCAGTCTGTGTGATGAGCAGGGAGGCTGCTGTGAGCAGGCCCAGACATCACTCACTGCCTATCTGATGTCTTGGAATCACAGGGTCTGCCCTTGTTCTTTGGGCCAGTGATGCCTAACAACCATCCTGCTGGGGCCTCATTGAACCCCAGCCTGGCTGTGATTCTAGTTTGCATTTTCCTGACAGTTAGGGTGAAACTTTTCCTTAAATTTGGAGCAATTTTTATTTCTGTGTGTGTGTGTGTGTATGTGAGAGAGAGAGAGAGAGAGAGAGAGAGAGAGAGAGAGAGAGAGAGAGAGTGTGTGTGTGAAGTATTGGTTCACATCCTTTGCTTGTTTCTCTCTCAAACTGTGGGCCTTTTTCTAAATTTATACACTCTTTGAAATAAATACTCCATTAAAGAAGTTAGACTTTTACCTGTGAAAGGAGCTACAATTTTTTTTTAGTTTGTGTTTGGCTTTTGACTTACTGATGTGATTTTTTTCCCCTGTGTAAAATTGTTTTATTTTTAATGAATTTATCAGTGGCATGCTGGTAGATGTCTAACAACCATTTCTCTTGGGAAGGAAAATATTCCAGGGTGCCTTTGTGGCCTATTTCAAGTTACCACCCGAACACCTGAACCCCGAGTGGGGACGAGCCAGCTCCAGCATGCTGACTGCTGGGATGGGTCTCACTTAGGAAAGCTGGTCCCACTTTAAGACTATTAACTACCAAACACATTCTACCTTGGTTTCTTCTAGGACTCCTATGGTGGTTGTGGGTTTTTTGTTTCCTTTTTTTTTTTTTTTCCTGTTTAAATCTTAGGCTTCTCTGCTACTTAATTTTGGTGTAGGTGCTGTTCTGCTGTCATTTTGTTAACAAAACATGTTGGACAGACACATTTCCGCCGTAGTCTGGATGTTGTTCCTCACTGCGTGCTAGACTCCTCAGACGTTGTTGCAGTGATCTTGTGGACCCCTCTCTGTCCCTGTGATCTGCCTGTCCATCTGTGCTCCACATTCTTACTTGGTGGCTTTACACTGAGATTTTGTATTTCATAGGACTGGAGACATTTTTTAGTGATTTTTCTGCCTATTCTTCTTGTTTATGTGATGCTCTTCCAAATGAACTTTGCACCAGCATGTCTACCTGCCCCCAATTCCTCTTAGTACTTCATTAGTACTGCATTAAATTCACAGGCAAATTTAGGAAGAACTGACATCTTTACGTAGTGTTAAATCTCCCTATCCAAGAACATAGTATTCCATACTGGGTTTTTTGTTTTGTTTTTTTTTGTTTTTGTGGGACTAGGGATTGAACTCAGGACTTCACACTTGCCAAGCAAGTGCTCTACTGCTTTAGCTACACTTCCTGTCCTCCATGCTGTTTTTTGTTTTTGTTTTTCCTGAGACAGGGTCTTGCTATCTAGTCTAGGCACTCCCCGCTGGGGATCCCATCTCACAGCCAGAGCAGGCTTACCTGTGCTCAGCTCCACAGAACCAATGGTCCTTCTCCCCCTTCCCCCCCAGGAGCATCTTTTGACCCCAAAAGTCACTGGCCCAGGGTCCCGTCTCTCCCTCCCCCCACACCTGAGGCTGAGGTGTCTGTGTGAGGCTGGGGTTGCAAAAGGGCTGGTTGGAATCCTGCAGTGTTGATGTGGGGGGGGGGTCTTCTCACCGCAGGGTGGCCGGGGAGCTGGCCAGGGCTGGCTGGGAGGGGAGCTATCACTTGAGGGCGGAGCGGGGGCGGGGCAGGGGGCAGTGAGGTAATTTCCGCGATCAGGCGTCAGAGGTCTGAGTCGCCCCAGGGGCAGAATCGAAAGTGATCTGCAGCTCAGAACCGGTGCGCTGCTGACTGGTGCACAGGGTAAGCACCCAGGCGGTGGGTGGGGACCTGGGGACAAGAAAGTCTGGCTGGGGAGAGGAAGGGCCACCTGAGAAGTATGGAGACCTCCCCCTGTATGCAGATGGGCACAGAGGGACCCCCTGGCATTCCTGAACCCCCAATCCCACAGCAGCACAGCCCCCTCTTCTTCTCCCTCCAAATACTTGGCTGTGGGGTCCTTAACTCTGAGAACTCAGAAATCTCCGTTGGGGTGCAGGTGGATCCTTAGGCTCTCACTGCACCCATTGTTTCCTTTTAAAACATCATCTTATACCCTAAAGTTTCCCTTGAAAGTTCCTTTTACAGGGTTGGGGCGTGGTTCAGTGGTCAGTGCTTGCCTAGCATGAGAAAGGTCCAGGGTTCCATCCCATCAATGAAAAAAAAAAATTCCCTTTAGACCTGGCTGTGTTTGGGGGAACTGCCCCCTTCCCCTGGAGTGGCACCAACTGAAACCCTGGACTTTGGGTGTCCCCACTCCTCCTGGCATTCCTGTGGAAGCTCTGGTGTCAACTGTCCCACCTGGGCAGGCTGGGCCTTTGCAAGACTGAACCCTTATCCCCCAGACCTCAGCTGCCAAATCCAGGTGGGCTGCAAAGGCGTTGCTCTCTTTAGAAGGGCTGAGAGACTGGAGCAGGAAGGCCTTGTGTGGGGTAGCCCTAGTCCTCACTGGGTCCAGAGGCACTGGCTGGGGGCTTCCATGGTCTCCAGGGCTCTCTTTTATCAACTGCCACTTTGGCTCCTCTGGGCAGGGCCTGGAAACCTGCAGAAGGAGTGGGCTTTGGCAGGGGCCAGGTCAGTGAACTCTGACTCCTCAAGAGGCCAAGGTTGGGGTAAATTCTCTGTCCTTTGCCTGGTGGAGGGTGTGTGAATCCCTCTCCACCTCAGGCTAACCTGCTCCTCCTCTCCCGTTGTCTCTCCATGGTCACAGTTCCTGTAGACCAGCTGCCCAGGAGCGTGGCATACCTCTGTGAAGAACCTGGCCAGTGTCGGAGATGGCATCCATAGGGTGCAGTTTATTACCTGCCAACCCCCCTGCCGCCAAGGGGCTGCCTTTGGCCGGGCTCTATGCCCAGGTGGACCTCTGCCTGGGCTGTTCCCGTTGCTCCCAGCGCCTCAATGAGAGCACTTACGTCCTGCATGAGGTGGAACACAACTGTCCTGCTGAGATCTTGCTGGCCCGCTGCAAGCCATATGTCAAGAGCAAGGTCTGGCGCAAGGTAGGCCGCCGGCCCAGCTTCCCGAGGCCTATGCGCTATGAGGTCTGCCGTTACTACAGCCCTGGGCTGGGCTGCCGGCGCCATCGGAATCAGTGCACCTTTGCCCGAAGTCCGGAGGAGGCACTCGTCTGGACCTTCGAGCGTAAGCACAGCCTCTCCCGCCTGTGTCTGAAGGCTGCTGTGCAGGGCACCAAGGGTGAGCCTCATGGAGCAGCCGAAACCATCCGCACGGAGTTTGGTGGCTGTTTCCAATTGCTCTGTGCCCACTGCTTCAGGTGCTCTCCCCCAAGCATCTGCCCCATAGACCCCCAGGGGCAGTGTCCCAAGCATGGAGCCTGCCCCTCGCTCCTCATCCACGTGAGCACCGAGGGCCGAAAGCAGCAGTATGTAGAGGTGCGGCCACAACCCCAGAACCGAAAGCAGCTAAACTATTGCATGTTTGTGGAGCGTGGGCAGCCATGCCGCCACGGGGCATCACGTTGCCAGTATGCACACAGCGCTGTGGAGATGGCTGTGTGGGGAGCTGAACGGCTGGGTGGGCTCCAGAGGGGCGACCTGCTCGCACCTCCTGCCCTCAGGGAGGACAAATGCACAGCTGCCTGTGACCAACCCTCAGGCGTCCTGCTGTATTGCCACGCCTGCCTAGTCACCTGCCGCTCTCCGGAGGCCTTCGAGAACCACTGCTTCTCCCTGGAGCACGCTCAGATGGTTGCCTTCGACCAGGCTGTGCCGTGGGAGTACCGTGTACCACCCATGGGGCTCTCCAAGTTTGAGCTCTGCCCTAGGTAAGGCCAGTGGAGTGGGAGCCTGGAGTGTGAAGGAAGAATCCCTTTCCACCAGCACCAGGTCTGGGAGGTTTACCAAGTCTGAGGTCTCCCTGCCACCTGCCATGCCCTCTGCATGTCAGGCTGGCACTACAGTGGCCCTCCTAGGATCTGGTAAGGAGATCCTAGGATCTTATTCTCATTCTAGGGTCTTCTTCTAGGGATGCGAGTAGATACAGCCCCTGCTCCCTAGTGCCTAGAATCCATTCCTGTTCCCCACACAGGCCAGTGTTGGGCTGAGGGGGTCAGCCTTGGTGTTCCCCTGTGACTGCGCTTCCATGTGTTCCTGCTGACCCTATCATCCCACAGGCCTGACCTCTGCGAGTATGGGGACATCTGCACCAAGGCGCACTCAGCACAGGAGCTTCAGGAGTGGATCCAGCGGACGCAGGCCATGGAGCTGCGAGAGCAAGCAGCTTGGCAGGATGGGCTAGTGCCCTATCGGGCTCGGCTCCTGGCTGAGTACCTGTCCAGCAGCAGCAAGGTTCTAGTGGTAAGTGGGGCCACATGAATGGGTGGTTAAGTGCCTCTAGGGTCACACTACTGAAGTTCAGGCTTCCCTGTACAGCTGGCTGAGACCATCCATGGGGTATCCATCACCTGCCACCAACCCCTGGTACTCAATCAAGCCCAGGAGAAGGCCCAGCACACCTGGACATTCACCATCCACTCTGAGGTGAGGGTTTTACACAGTTCTGAGATCTCAGGCCTTGTGGGTAGCCCAAGCCCCAAGTGGAGAGGTTCTCAGAGGATAAGGACCACAGCTGGGCCGACATGAAATGCCTGGTGGCTCTGCCTCTGTGACTGTGTGACCTGGGGCAAGTCCTTCAGCCTCTCTGCTTCAGTTTCCTCACTTGAAAACAGGGTGATCATGACACCCACCCTGTGTGGTCACCCTATGGAGAGGGCAGTTAAATAAGGAAGAGATCTACCGGTGTCTGGCACCTAGAAAGTGAGTAAGGCCAGTAACCACATGGCCCTGAAGTCCCCAGACTGCCTCTTTTAACCTCCTGGGGCCTCAGGAGGGTTCCATGATCCCCAATGTGCAGAGGAGGAAACTAAGGCTCAAGAGAGGTCAAGCAACCTGTGGGTCCCACACCCAGAGAGGCAGTTGAACTGCCTCTCTCCTGGGGTAAGAGAGATTAGGCATCATCTTGGACCCTGAAGAGTGGGACAAGGTCTAGGGGCCCACCTCACATCTAGTCCCTTCCCCTCAGGATCCCTTGCTACATGTGGCCCTGCTCAAGCAGGAGCCCGGAGCAGACTTCTCACTGGTGGCCCCCCACCTCCCACCTGGCCGGCTGTATGCACAGGGTGAGCGCTTCTGTGTGCCCCACTCCCCAGCAGAATTCCGGGTGGGGGTGCGTGTGCGGGCCGCCTCCTTTGGCACCTTTGAGCAATGGGTGGTCTTTGACTTTTGGCCGCCGGCCTGTGCTGCTTCGGAAGTTGGGGCTACAGCTGGGCCAGACCCACTGTCAAGGACTCTGTGGGAGGCCAGCTCCTGGTCATCCCGAGGAGCTGGATCGGTGGGACACACACAACCGCCATGTAGTGCCTGGCGTGGAGCGGACAGCTGAGCAGGTGGCTCTGATGGCCAAGTACAAGATGCCCACCCTGACCCTGGAGCCCAGTTGCCAAGGTCTGACCTCGGGCCCCATCTCTCACACCAACTATCGGCAGATGATGCACCACTTCCTCTATGAGGAGGAGATGGCTCAGCAGCAGCTAGTAGCCAAGTGAGTCAGGTGGTGGGCAGGCTGGGGTGGCCAGAGTCTGGACATGGAGCCAGGTCTGTGCCTGTGGCCTGGAGAGCTGACACAGATCCTCCTACCAGGCTGACCCTGAGGGGCCAGGTGTCCCTGAAGACTGTGCTACAGACACCAGCACTTGGCATGGTCTTCGCTCCGCCAGGATCTCTGTATGCTGAAGTCCCTGTCCCTTCCTCTCTGATGCCAGACTCAGACCAGGGCTTTCTGCTGGGCCGGGCAGTCAGCACAGCCCTTGTGGCCCCTGTACCTGCACCTGATGACACTGTGTTCGAGGTGCGGCTGGAGACACGGGCCAGTTCAGAGCAGGCCCTGTGGTTGCTGCTGCCAGCACGCTGCTGCATGGCCCTGGGACTACAGCCTGAGGCCAGCCCCATCTTGGAGGTGCAGTTCCAGATTGACCCCCTGACCTTCCGGCTCTGGCACCAGGCAGTGGACATGCTTCCTGAAGTGCGCCTGGTGGTGCCTGACCTGCCTGCCTGTGTCCTGCCCCGTACCTGGCCCATCCCGCCTGCATTTTGTGGCAACCGCAAGCAGAAGCTGGCCATGGGGCTGATTGCGCGGTATCAACCCTGAGGGCATGAAAACCCGTCCCACCACTGCTCATCTATGGCCCCTTTGGCACGGGCAAGACTTACACATTGGCCATGGCCTCCCTGGAGGTTGCTCGGCAGCCCCACACCAAGGTGCTCATCTGCACACACACTAATAGGTGAGCCCAGAGCTACTGCCCAGTGTGCCTACTACTAGCCCTGCCTCCTGGGCATCTAGCCCTCTGAATCTCATGGGGACTCTGCTGATGACTGGTTGCCCTGGGCTTTACCAGGCCTAACTGGGGTGCCCTGAGATGATGGGTGTTATTTGGGTTAGGAAGCATAGGTGCCTCCCTGGAGGCCCTGACCATGGAGGGAGTTGTGGGAAGAACCCGTTTCCTGGGACAAGGTTCTTGATTTTGATTTTTACAAAAAATAGATTTCTTGACTAAGAAGTTCCCCTTTGGTCAATATGAATTTCTTAGTTCCCTAATACCACATACTGCAGCAGGCACTAAGTGCCACAGCACAGAGCGGGGGTGGCAGAATGGCCTGGGCTGATTACTGGGCTAGTCTAGAGACCCAGGGAACCAAGACTTGGTGGGGGGGGGGGGGGGGAGGGGGGGGGGGGGGGGGGGGGGGGGGGGGGGGGGGGGGGGGGAGGTGGGGGGGGGGGGGGGGGGGGGGGGGGGGGGGGGGTGGGGAGGGGGGGGGGGGGGGGGGGGGGGGGGGGTGGGGGGGGGGGGGGGGGGGGGGGGGGGGGGGGGGGGGGGGGGGGGGGGGGGGGGGGGGGGGGGGGGGGCGGGGGGGGGGGGGCGGGGGGGGGGGGGGGGGGGGGGGGGGGGGGGGGGGGAGGGGGGGGGGGCGGGGGGGGGGGGGGGGGGGGGGGGGGGGGGGGGGGGGGGGGGGGGGGGGGGGGGGGGGGGGGGGGGGGGGGGGGGGGGGGGGGGGGGGGGGGGGGGGGGGGGGGGGGGGGGGGGGGGGGGGGGGGGGGGGGGGGGGGGGGGGGGGGGGGGGGGGGGGGGGGGGGGGGGGGGGGGGGGGGGGGGGGGGGGGGGGGGGGGGAGGGGGGGGGGGGGGGGGGAGGGGGGGGGGCGGGGGGGAGGGGGGGGGGGGGGGGGGGGGGGAGGGGGGGGGAGGGGGGGGGGGGGGGGGGGGGGGGGGGGGGCGGGGGGGGGGTGGGGGGGGGGGGGGCGGGGGGGGGGGGACGGGGGGGGGGGGGGGGGGGGGGGGGGGAGGGGGGGGGGGGGGGGGGGGGGAGGGGGAGGGGGGGGAGGGGGGGGGGGGGGGGGGGGGGGGGGGGGGGGGGGGGGGGGGGGGGGGGGGGGGGGGGGGGGGGGGGGGGGGGGGGGGGGGAGGGGGGGGGGGGAGGGGGGGGGGGGGGGGGGGGGGGGGGGGGGAGGGGGGGGGGGGGGGGGGGGGGGGGGGGGGGGGGGGGGGGGGGGGGGGGGGGGGGGGGGGAGGGGGGGGGGGGGGGGGGGGGGGGGGGGGGGGGGGCGGGGGGGGGGGGGGGGGGGGGGGGGGGGGGGGGGGGGGGGGGGAGGGGGGGGGGGGGGGGGGGCGGGGGGCGGGGGGGGGGGGGGGGGAGGGGGGGGGGGGGGGGGGGGGGGGGGGGGGGGGGGGGGGGGGGAGGGGGGGGGCGGGGGGGAGGGGGGGGGGGGGGGGGGGGGGGGGGGGGGAGGGGGGGGGGGGGGGGGGGGGGGGGGGGGGGGGGGGGGGGGGGGGGCGGGGGGGGGGGGGGGGGGGGGGGGGGGGGGGGGGGGGGGGGGGAGGGGGGGGGGGGGGGGGGGGGGGGGGGGGCGGGGGGGGGGGGGGGGGGGGGGGGGGGAGGGGGGGGGGGCGGGGGGGGGGGGGGGGGGGGGGGGGGGGGTGGGGGGAGGGGGGGGGGGGGCGGGGGGGGGGGGGGGGGGGGGGGGGGGGAGGGGGGGGGGGGGGGGAGGGGGGAGAGGGGGGGGGGGGCGGGGGGGGGGGCGGGGGGGGGGGGGGGGGGGGGGGGGGGGGGGGGAGGCCTATC